TTCTATTGTTTGTCTTTATACTTGAAATAAATTTTTATAGGCAACATATAGTCAATTTTGCTTTTCAATTTAATTTGGCCATTTTTGTATTTTAATTGGAGCATGTAGACTATTTATACTTAATGTTGACTATTGACATAAATTTAATTTTACCGTATTGCAATTTGATTTCTTTTTGCCCATTTGTCATTTATTTTTATGAATATGTTTTTATCGTTTGTTGTTGTTTAAGAGAGAGGAAGGAAGAGGGAGGAACATAGATCAGCTGCCTTCTGCATGCCCCCAACTGGGGATCAAGCCTCAACTGGGCATGTGTCCTGACTGGGAATCAAGCCGGTGGTCTCTGGTAAATAGGATGACAATCAACTGAACCACACCAGCCAGCGCTGTTCTTTGTTTTCCTTTTATTTTAGAAGTGAAAATTTATTTTTTCTCAAGAAAAACGATCTTAAATATAATGTTTTGTGCAATAAACATTAATATCTCAAGAAACAAATTAAAATTTTACATGCAATAAACACCAATTATTCAGGAAAAAACGATCTTACATATAATAATATTACATTCAATAAACAATATTTTAGAATAAAAGTATTTTAGGTAAATAATATTGTTAAAACTGTACTAATATAGTATAATATCACAAAAGTTGTAAGGACGTATTAACAATCTGCAAATAACAGGATTACTTCTATTAGATTCTAAAATATCCCCCCCACCCCCCACTGGCTCTATTTTGTTCATCAGTTTATGTTGTTCGTTATATTCCACTAATGAGTGAGATCATGTGAGATTTATCTTTTTCCAAATGGCTTAATTCGCTTAACATGGATGTTCTCTAGGTCCATCCATGCTGTTACAAATGATAAGAGTTCCTTCTTTTTTATAGCAGTATTCCATTGTGTAGAAGTACCAGTTTTCTAATCCACTCATCTGCTGATGGACACTTAGGCTGTTTCCAAAGCTTAGTGATTGTAAATTGTGCTGCTATGAGCATAGGGGTACATATATTCTTTCTGATTTTTTCCTCCCTTGGGATATATTCCTAGAAGTGGAATTACTGGGTCAAATGGGAGTTTTTTGAGGAAACTCCATACTATTCTCCACAGCGTCTGCACCAGTCTGCATTCCCACCAGCGGTGCAAGAGGGTTCCTTTTTCTTGTTCTTTGTTTTCCTTTCCCTCTTTTTCTGCCTTCCTTTAAATAGAAACTTTTTTTCTGATTCTATTTTTATCTTCTGTTTTGACTTATGGCTGCAAGTGTTAGTGATTTCCTTAGGGTTTACCATATACATTATTAACTTACCACAATCTATTCTCAGATAACATACCACTTTACATATACTTAAGAACTTTACAATCACATACTTCTATTTTTCCCCCTCCTGAATTTTTGAGTTTGCTGTCATACTCTAATTTTAAATGTGTCAATTCCAAACTATGTTATTTTTGCTTAAACAATTATCTTTCGCTGAAACTGGTTTGACTTAGTGGATAGAGCGTAGGCCTGCGGACTGAAAGGTCCCAGGGTCGATTCCGGTCAAGGGCATGTACCTTGGTTGCAGGCACATCCCTAGAAGGGGCTGTGCAAGAGGCAGCTGATCGATGTTTCACTCACATCGATGTTTCTAACTCTCTATTCTTCTCCCTTCCTCTCTGTAAAAAAATCAATAAAATATATTAAAACAAAACAATTATCTTTCAAAAAGAATAAAGTAATAAGAAAAGAAGACCAAACAAGTCATATATTTACCCATGCAGTTACTATTTCTAGTGCTCTTCATTCCTTGGTGTATTATTTTTAAAAAATATATTTTTATTTATTTCAGAGGAAGGAAAAGGGAGATAGAAACATGATGATGAAAAATTGACCAGCTGCCTCCTGCACACCCCTTACTGAGGATTGAGCCCATAGCCCAGGCATGTGCCCTTGACCAGAATCTAACCCAATATGCTCTATCCACTGAGCCAAACCAGCGAGGGCATTCCTTCGTGTATTCTCCTTTCCACTTGGCATCACTTTTCTCCTGCCTGAAGGACTTTTCTGATTTCTTCTAGCGCCGTCTGTGGTGATAATTTGTCTTTCTGTCTATAAATCATTTTATCATCTTTGTTCCTGAAAACTATTTTTTCTTCATCACTGCTTTTCAGCAATTTGATTGTGATGTCGTTTCTTGTTTTTAGAGTTCATTGTATTGTTTGGCTCTGCAGGCTTACAGTTTTCATCCTAATTGGAAAATGCTTCCACCAGTAATGTTTTCCAATAATTTTTCTGTCCCTTCCTTTCCTCCTCTGGGAATCCCAATTATATATAGCCTGCCTGGAGGGGTTCCAGAGCACCGTGGTGCTGTTCATTTTAAAATCTTTCTGTGTTTCATTTTGGACAGTTCCTACTGCCATTGCCAAGTTCACTAATCTTTCCTTTTGCAATGCCTAATCCGCTGTCATTGCCATTAAGGTACTATTTTTCCATCTCACACATTGTAGTTTTTATAAGTTTGACTTGGGTCTTATTTCTATGTTACATGTTTCCACTAGGTTTTGGTATGTATGGTTTTGATGCCCTCTGTTAATTATAACTTCTGTGTTAGCCCTAGGTGGTATATTTTCTTCATTAGGGATAGTGTTTTCTGCCTTTCTGCAGAACTGGATGCTATAAACTGTGAAATTTACCTTTGTAAGTGCTTCATATTTTTATAATCCTATAATATTCTTGAGCTTTGTTCCGAGATGTAATAGCACTGTCTAAAAACACACAAACAATTGTATGTACCTTAATTATAAAATACTTTATTGCTTAAAAATGCTAATAATCATCTGAGCTTTCAGCAAGTCATAATCTTTTTGGTATCCCTGTTTGACATAGGGTTGCCACTAACCATCAATTTGTAAAGAACACATTATCTGCAAATTACAATAAATGTGAAGTGCAATAAAATGAGGTAAACCTGTATTCCCCAACACTGGGGCTAAATCCTTCTGTACATCCTACTCTAAGCGCTATACATCCTTAGGTTTCTCCAGCTTGGCTGGTGGTCACAGTATTCCTAGCCTTGTGTCAGCTTTGAGTACTTTTCATTTTGGAGGGTGCTTCTTTCCCTGGCCTCACGTAGTTTCCTCACATGCATGATTGATGAAAACTTAAGGGACCGTTGGCAGACTCAAGAGTTTTCTCTCTGTGCAATTTTCTCCTTTCCCATACCCTGTCCTGCAAACTCTGGCCACTTGGATCTCCTCACATCTCAGCTCTATCTTTTTCAACTCTGGTGCTTGGGTGGACTCTGCCTGCATTCCCCTCTCCTACATCATCCTTTGAAAATTCTCTCAAGGCAGCAAACAGGGAACAATTATAGGGCTCACCTGGATTTTTCCATCTCTCAGCGATTGTTGTCTCATGCCTAGCATCTTGAAACTCATTATTTTGTATAACTTGTCTAGTTTTTTTTTTTAAGTGTGTGTGTGTATGTGTGTAGGGTAGGGAAAGGAACTATAAATTTAATTCCTGTTACTCCATCTTTAGTAAAAACAGGAGTCTTGAACTATTTGATTTTATTATACAAATTTCCTAATTTCTACATTTCCTCTGAACTTAATTAAAATGACATTTAAAAATTCAACTATCTATCAAGTTCCAATAAAATCATTTATTGTAAAAAGCTATTCTGATTGTAATAATCTCTGTTGGTCCCTCAGGGGGGAGATATTATTTTAAAAGGTAGATTATCATGTACTAACTGTGTAAATCAGAAACTTTAGATGGAGTATTACCATTCTCTAGGTGGTATACTACCATTTGTAATTCTAGAGAAGGTAGGTAGGGGAGGGCAGAGATAATAAATATACATTAAATAGAAGCATTAATGTAACTTCATATAATATGAGTTAATGTGTGACCTTTATTTCACATTTCAGAAATACTAATCCAACGTCCAGCAGTCAGACCAATGGCAAGCAGCAGAAGAAAAATTCTCTAGTTAATTAAGTGCTCTCCCCGTCCTAGGAGCATGCGGTGCCTTTCCCACCCCCCTCTTTTTCACACACAGGCCCGCATCTCCTAAACTCTAAGGGTCCCCATGAGACTTGCAACTAGGGTACCAGTGGGCAGCAACAATTCGTCCTGGGCTAACCCTGCACCTGTCCCCAAGGCCCCCTTTCCTTTGACTTCTCCTTGAGCCAATGCAGCTCTGCCAAGGCTCTCCTGCCGTTTCTTCTGACCTACACCCTTCCTTAGTTCACTCTTCCCAGCTTTAATAAACATTCTCTCAAAATAAGGAAGTTATTTCCGATTTTTAGTGTTTCTCAGGTTTTCGACTTATCTAAAAATTAAGTGCAGAGTTTGTTTCAAATGCAGATTTTCAACCCCAAATTCAAGATTTTAATTTAGTAGGACTGGGATAGAGACTAGAAATCTGCAAATTATTGACCAGCTCAGTGACTGATAAGAGATGACTATGGAATTAAGTATGTCCTTACTTCTTGCTTGAGCTGGATAAATGGATGATGGGTAAAACACAATGAACATTTTTAGGAGAATAATGTAGAATCAAGAACAAGCCAAGGTGTTTTGTCTTAGGTTAAGAGGTTCAGATCAGAAAAGCCATCCAGGATCAAACTAAAAAACCTGGGTATTAGAATCCTGAAACCACCTTTAGTTTCAGAATAGGGGAGTAATAACATAAAAGTGATTTTTAAAGGAATGCTGATTGATGGGACGAGTTGTAAAGCTGGAAAGCCACGCAGAAGGTTTAGAATGAAGTGATGAAAATGAACAGCTGGAAGGAGGTACTGACAGGAGAAAAGAAAATGTCAGAAGACATACGGGTAAAAACGTTGAACTTGCTTTCAGATACCTAAAAATAGAAAGTTAATATTAAATACATTTAAAAAGTATTCATTACAAACATCATAACTATAGCAACAATAAGAATAATAAAAATAAAATAATCTTCAACTTGGTTTTTCAGATCATTACTTGCATGATTCTTGAAACTCCATAGGAGCTCAACAGCAGTTTGTATTGCCTGCAGGGATTATTGAAGAGAGGTGTTAGTGTCCTAAGTCAACATCAGTTCATCAGTTAGTACAAACTAAAAACAGGCATCTACTATCTTTTGTAAGGTGCACGAAGCAATATTCCCATTCTGTAACAGTTTTATTTATATTCCTCATTCACTGTTTCAACCCATTTTGATTTATTGTCAATAATGATACCAAGATTCACAATCAAGATAGAACACCTACTTCTTCAAAACTACAAATCAGACATTGAGGATAAAATGCTAAAGGTGTGCTACAAGGAATAGTTCTGGTGGGGGGAGTGGGTAGGAGCAAAAAAGTCAGACAAGGCTTCAAGGAAGATGGAGTTTCAATGGGCATGAAGGACAGATGGGATCTGTAGATATGAAAATATAAAGTATGGAAAAAGGAAAGGAAAGGCATTTCACTCAAAAATATCAATTTCTATCATGTCAGAAATTAAAAAATTTGTCAGTTCATAAAAATGCTTAATTTGCTAAATGCTCTAAAAACAAATCCAAAGGAAGATGACACTTCTATGCATCCCCATTTCTTACCTTCTTTTAGTGGGGTTTTCGGAACAAAATTTTCTTTACTTTCATGAAGAAAAGCCTTTGAAGGATCAAAGCGTCTGATGCCCAGAACTTTATTCAACTCTTCCTGAAGGTTTCTCTCACTTTGCTTTATTTTAGCAAGCTGAGAACGGAGTTTTGACACCTCCTTTGTAAAAAGAAAAAGATAAAAATAGACAATAAACAATTATTTAAGATCACATTGGTAAAATGTGTAACCAATGTTACTGAAAAATTCCAAAGTCCCTCAGATATCAAACTAAATGGCAAAAATCACTATTAGATAAAGACTTTAAGACTATGAAGTTAGCCTGGCCGGCGGGACTCAATTGGTTGGGCATCGTCCTATGCACCCAAAGGTTGCTGGTTCTATTCCTGGTCAGGGCACATACCCGAGTTGCAGGCTCCATCCCTTGTAGGTTGGTGTGCAGGAAGTAGCTGATCAATGTTTCACTCCCACACCAATGTTTCTCTCCCTTTCCCTCTCTCTAAAATTCAGTAATAAATGCCAATATCAACTTCCAGCATGAGGACCCAAGGGGCTCCACTGACCTGCTTTCTAGTGAAGCTAACCATCAAGAAAAAGGCAGGAAGTATATTAGTGGTGGGAAGGAGGAGTGGATGAGAAGATAGGGAGATAATAACTAAAGGGTAAGGGGTTTCATTTTGAGATAATAAAAATGTTCTAAAATTGACTATGGTGATTGATGGCTGTAGCTATCTGTACATATACTAAAAACCACTGAGTTGTATACATTAATGGTGTGTGAGTTATATTTCAATAAAGCTGTTAAAAAACTTAAATATCTAACTAGTTTTGAACACTGCTCATCTTTATAGTATTTACTTACATCAAGGATTTTTCTGCTTTACAAATAGAAATGGATATGAAACCTTTCTGAATTTTTCCAATCTTTTTTTAGGGAGAATGGAAGAGAGGGGAAAAGACAGAGAAAAATATTGATGTCAGAGAGACACATGATTTGTTGCCTCCAAGACATGCTCCAACCAGGGCTAGGAACCGAGTCTGCAATGGAGGTATGTGCCCTTCACCAGAATCGAACCCGCAACCCTTCAGTTTGTGGGGCAACACTAACCACTGAGCCAAATCGGCTAGGGCTCTAGTAATTTTCAATATACAAATGAAGTTGTTAGAAAGTCTGAGAACATTACTACCCATCTGGTCAACACTCTAAAAGAAAATAAATCCTTAATTGTTAGATGGATTATCACTTTTTCTGATACCAAAGTTCTTCATTTTACTTAAATGTCATAAATAGAATAAAAAATACCCCCTCCCAATATCTTCAGTAGGACTGTGTTATTTTACAAACCGATTTGAGTTGGCTATTTTCATCTTTCAATTTCACAACATGCTTGATTTTTTGCTTAAGATTCTGATGGCCCAACAATTTAGCATAGGAATCTCTTAGTTTATTTAGCTGGTCCTGAGCTGCACCATGTTCATTCAACAAAGCCTGTTTCTCTGCCTCAAAGGCATCCAGTTGTAGCTGAAAAATAGTGTTGTTTTTTTTTTAATATAAAGTTAAGACTTAAAATTCTTAAACCTTACTTGTCTATATAAACTATATACAAGACAAAGTTAAAAGAAAATGAACAAAAACAGATTTTGTTGACATATTCTCAGAGCTCTCCATAAATGAGACTTTAAAAAAAAAAATTTAGTGTTTTTCATTTCAAAGATCATAAAAACAGAAAGAAACAAGAAATCTAGGCTGGCCAGCCTAATTTTTATCATCTGGGTCATATTATAACCAGAACTCGTAATGTACTAAAGTGCCAAGATTAGCATTTATTCTTTGGCTATGTTAAGATCTGTATGTTAATTTGAGACACATTGAGAAAGATCACAACAAAATAATTATCACGATTTTACATAGATTAATGATAAAAATAAAAGCTTCTATGCTATTAACTTTAAGTCTCTACTAGGAGGTATATTCTAGACTATAAAGGCTTTTTTAAAAAATGTATGCATAATAATTTGACAACATTTATAAGCCTTCTTTAATAGGAAATTAAATTGGCACTAGATGCACAGCAAAATGGTCTTTCAGGAAAACCAAGTCACTGTCCTGTCCTGACAAAGCAAATAACTAAAACAAACATGAGTAAGCTTAGTCCTACTTAACACACCTGAAAAGGCTTTGTTTTATTATATAGTTCTTCATAAAGGAGACGCCACTTATTCATTTCCTCAGTTAATTCTGCCATTGCATTTTCTTTTCCAGCTTTTCTGTAACAGAAAATTAAATTAAAGATATAAAGTAATTCAATAAAATGGACTGAGGTGTGTGGCACCCGGGTTCGGAAGTGGGGTTACCTTGCTTTTTTCTCTTCCAGCTGCTGCTTGAAGGCTTCCTCTTGCTGCTTGAGCTGGTTCTCCAAATCACTTATTTTTTGGAGAGAAGAAACTGTGATTTCTTTAATTTCTGTTTCTTTAAGTGCTGCTCTGGTCTGCAGATCTAGAAGCATCCTTGGGTTTGAGAGAGAAGAGTCCACTAAACATTTTACAGCCATTTTAATTCTCTTTTTGTTCTTTTCCATTATTATTATTTTTTAATTTAAGGACCTTCTTGAGGACTTTATATTTTTAAATAAATTCTTTTTTAAAGTATATTTTTTATTATTGATTTCAGAGGAAGGGAGAGGGAGAGAGAAACAGCAACATCAATGGTGAGAGAGAACCACGGATTGGCTGCCTCCTGCACACCCCACACTAGAGCTCAAGCCTGAAACCTGGGCATGTACCTTGACTGGGAGTCCAACAGTGATCTCCTGGTTCATAGATCAATGCTCAACCATTGAACCAGGCAGGCTGGGCTTAACTAAATTCTTCATTTGCAATTTGAGATCACCCCAAAGTAAGCCATGAAACATACTCCTTGCATACTTGGTAGCTGGCTTTCAACAACATTGTCCTATGGTTTGAGGGCAACAAGTATGGTTTTATTTTTACTACATACCTTGCATATTCTTGGTTTGAACTCTTAGTTGCCAATATCTGATGCTGAAGATCCTCTGCACTTTTCTCGGCCTTGGCCACTTTTTCCTTGAGTGATGAGTTCTCCAGCTTAAGATCTTCTGTCTCACAAGCTGTTAATACTTTATAGCTTATTAACAAGAAGAATAAGTTAACATATATTATACATGACAAATATGTAGCTAATCAATTTATAGTTTATAAAATTTTAGGTAAAACAAGAAAAAAAATCTCAGTATCTATGTATGCACTTATACACGTAAGAATTCAATGTTCTGAGGTCAGCTTATATTGCATAGGCTTTTCATTCAAATAAAAAAATCCAGTGACTACTATGTGTAGGAAGTACACATATAGAGATTTAAAATATCAACTACCAAACAGGGAAATTACTCTAAAACAAAAATTCTACAATCCCTGCACTTTCTGGCACAGTTTATGGTCTTGTGGGGAAGATAGGAAAATGCTTCTCCAGGTTTTCCCAAAATATTTGAAAAAAACATGTATATAATTAAATTTGTGGTAAGAGTTATGAAGAAGAACTACAGAGCTCCTTAAGCTAATACAACAGAGTACCCTACCTTTTGGTTGATGATTCAGAAGAGACCTGAGGAATTCAGTTAAGCTGAGACATGATGGATAAGGAAGATTTTGCCAGGCAGTTAGGACAAAGTATTTCAGAGAGAAAAGATGCTCAGAGGCAGGTAGACTATAGTGCATGAAAAGATGAGACTGCAGTGCTACTAAAATTGGAATAATACAGAGAAGATTAGCACTCCTGTGTGTGAGGATGGTACAAATTCCATATTTTAAAGCAAAACAAAACAGAAAGAAAAAAGATGAGCCTGGAGCCTAATAAATGAAGCAAGGGCAGAAGCTAGAGTGGACTGAGGCCATTCAGCACTGCAGAGCACCATGGGATTACCTGAGGTCTCTACGTGTGTGGACTACTCTGGAGACATGTGAGAATGGCCTGGGAAAGGTGCAGGGGTGCCACATTGAAAGAGTTAAATAAAAGACAATTATCAGTCCCGGTGAGTGGAAAAGGCTTTAACTAAGGAGCTGGCAATGGAAAGATGTGAGATCTCTTTTGGAGGCAGAATTTCAAAATTCCAGAAATAGATTAGGTGTTAGGAGAAAGGAAGAGAAAATGATCAAAGATGACACTAAGATTCATGGAATGAGAAGTTAGTAAGATGTTACTGACTGAGATAAAAAAGAATGAGACTAGAGGTAGAATAGAGAGAAGAGTTGTTTTAGACACATTACTATTGGAAGATAGTCAGGTATCTACTTGGAGATGTCAAGTAGGCAGCTGGGTAGGTGGGTACAGAGCTGAATGGAGACGTGTGATCTGAAGAAATAAGCTTTAATGGCATTAGCATAGTGATGGTGAGTGGATTCACAGAATGGCTAAGGTACTATCTTTCAAAGTAGCAAGAGGGGAAATCCCTTTTCAGGATTGAGAACAGCACTAAAAATCGCCTAATACAAAATTTATATAATTTATATTTCTGCTATGACAGAAAAATTATAATTAAAATAGATACATATACATGCTAAGTGTATGAATATGTGTATTACATATATCACATGAAGGAGATCACTAGGAAAAGAAGGTACTATTCAATGAACAGACAATAGGCAATTCATTATCCACATGGAAAAACAAAATAAATTTGATCCCAATATTACTACACACAAAAATCAGTTCTAGGTGAAAAAGTGAAAAGAGAAACTGAAACTTTTAGAAGAAAAATAGGTGACTGTCTTTATGTTCTTTGGGGCAGAAAGAAGTTGTTCAATGAGATGCAAAACTGTTCACAAAAGAATCTACAAACTCAGCCACATTAAAATCAAAGGGAAATTACTATACATACTAAGACTAACATGAACACTAAATGCCAATTTATGGTTGGTCACTATGGAATTTAAAGTGATACCAATAATTTTATTTGTGCAACTGATTTTGTTGTCCAGTTTTCCCTAAGTACCCCTCCCTGCTCTTATTATGTTTGCAAGTACAGGCACTCAATAAAAATACCTTTCGAACTGAGCAGTAACACCTCCCAGGTTTTGCTCTGCAGTATTACACCTTTCCTGCAAAAGCAGAGTGGCCTGAGTGTGAGCGGCATTACTTCTCTCCAGTTCCGCTTCTTTCCTAAAAAAAAAAGGAACAAAGAAAAGATAAGCTACTAGCTACAAAACACTGTCCTAAGAAAGAGGTTAGTTAGTATTTACCTTTGAATCCCAAACCTTTCTGTTTACATCAGCTAGTGGATAGCTTAGATGAAAATTTATGGACTACTACACTAAAAGCATGGTTAGTATCTTTTCTGTTCTTTTTTTTTACATTGTTTTCATCTTCATTTACTTACTTGTACATTTATCTTTTTATATCACATGTGTGTATGTATGTAGTTTTTGGGAAAATAAGATAAAAAGACACAAATAGAATCTTAATAGCAAAAGCTAAGAATATGAAGAATTACTAGTTAAAAAGCATTTGTACTGAATAAAATTTAATTTCTATGTATAGACATTTAAGAAATACTTAGCACAATTAAAGATACTTTGTTTTAAAAGATATAGGATTATGTAGATTTTGATTGTATCAATAATCCACATTATAAATTGTTCTTTGAAGATTCAAAAACTTATTAAGTAAATAACATTACAAAATTATATAATTTTTAGATATGCTTATGAGCTTATGAGATCTTTTAAAGAATATTTGGAACTAAAAACTAAAAGTAAAAAGCATTATTCGCTTATAGATTAAGTTTGACACTGAGACAAGGTAACAGATGGTCGAATTCATTCTGTAATGAGTAGACTTAAAAAAAATATACACACAGCAGCTAAAAGCAGTCAAATCACATTAATGGGTTTTAAACAAAATATTACCTTTCCTGCCCCCTAGAGGAATCACTTTCAACTACCTTAGTTTTTCTTTTAAGCATAAAATTTCAAGGCTGGAATAGATGAACCACAGAAATAAACTCATAAAACTATTTTAAATATAATGAAATAGAAAATTATGGAGATTAAAATTATCTTGCTCATAGTCACACAACTAGTAGCAAAATATTTATCTCCTGACTTCTGGACAGTTCTATGACTCAGAATACATGATTATGTCAACTTTCTTTCTGAATATGAAATCATCTACTCAGACACTTAAAGCACCTACCCGAGACTGGCTGTAATATAGAACAATCCCCTAATTACATTTGGTACTGCTCCTGCCAAAGCAAGTATATATAAAACCTTGGTGTGCTTTTTAAAATTTTACACATTTATTTTACTTTATTTTTTTTATATATATATTTTATTGATTTTGTACAGAGAAGAAGAGAGATAGTTAGAAACATCGATGAGAGAGAGTCATCGATCAGCTGCCTCTTGCACACCTCTTACTGGGGATGTGCCCGCAACCAAGGTACATGCCCTTGACCGGAATCGAACCCAGGACCCTTCAGTCCCCAAGCCTACGCTCTATCCATTGAGCCAAACCGGTTTCGGCTATTTTACTTTATTTTTTAAAACAACATTTATCCCTTCTAGTTGTTTCTTCTTTTAAATCACTAAGCACTAAACAACAACAACAAAAAACCACATACAAAAAACAAAAAATAAAAAACAGAAAATTAATTAATAACAAAAGTATTTCAACAAGAGATATTCAGTTCTAGACATATTTATTACATGTAGGCTCATGTATATGCTAGGAAATTTTATAATGATGAAACCCCAAGGATTTAAATAATATGATTATTTTATTTATAATTTAAACTCAATGGCTAACTGGACATTTTTTTAAATTTATATTTTATTGATTTTTTACAGAGAGGAAAGGAGAGGGATAGAGTTAGAAACATCGATGAGATAGAATCATCGATCAGCTGCCTCCTGCCCACCCTCTACTGGGCATGTGCCCATAAGCCAGGTATATGCCCTTGACCGAAATCGATCGCAGGACCCTTCAGTCCACAGGCCGACGCTCCATCTATTGAGCCAAACCGGTTTCGGCTAATCTGGACATTTTAAGTAAATATAGTGGAGGACACATAACATGATGAAAGCAATATGGAACTAGAGTAAAAAAGAAAGCATGAGATCTCAGTCTTTCTATTTCTAATAATACATTTATTTTTTTAAGATATATACATATGTTGTTATTTATTTCAGAGAGACTAAAAAAGAGGGAGAGATATATAGAAACATCAATGAGGAGAATCATTGATCGGCTGTCTCCTGCACACCCCAAACTGGGGATCGAGCCCGCAACCCTGGCATGTGTCCTGACCCAAATGGAATTGTGACCTCCTGGTTAACAGGTTGACACCCAACCACTGAGCCACACCGGCTGGCCATTTCTTATTTTTAATGTTTCCCAGTTCTAGTTATTTTTCCCCCCCATTTTGCTTTAAAAAAAAAAAAAACCCACACATATTTTTATTTATTTCATAGAGGAAGGGAGAGGGAGAGGGAGAGAAACATCAAGGATGAGAGAGAATCAGATTGGTTGCCTCCCGCATGCAACCTATTGGGGATGGAGCCCACAACCCGGGCATGTGCCCTTGACTGGAATCGAACTCGGGACCATTTAATCTCCAGACCGATGCTCTATCCACTGAGCCAAATCAGCCAGGGCCCCATTTTGCTTTTTGATTGTTATTTTTGAAGTGTTTGTACTCCCTCAAAACAGGTAATTAAAAATATAACTCACATTATATAAATTGATGTACACATATACAAAAATAGAATTGTGTCTTATTAAACGGTGAGAAACTTAATTTGGGGGAGTATTTTTTCTAAATCTATTATTATTTTAACATTAATGTCCTATCATTTTTAGAAAATATGAGAGTAATTATAGGATCCACAAAATTTTGGTCATTTAAAAAAAAAGTATTCTATTGATTTTACAGAGAGGAAGGGAGAGGGAGGGAAATATCGATGAGAAACATTAATCAGCTGTCTCCTGCTCGCCCCCTACTGGGGATTGAGCCAGCAACCAAAGTACATACTCTTGACCAAAATCAAACCCAGTCCACAGGCCCACACTCAGTCCACGGGCCCACACTCCATCCACTAAGTCCCCTCAGTCCATGGGCCCACACTCCATCCACTGAGACAAACAGGTTAGGGCTGGTCATTTTTGAATTAAAACTCTTAAAACCACTGGCTTTAAATAAAGAAGGGTTTGGCTTTTATTTAAGGTCTTACTTATCTATATATATATCCTATGCATGTACTTTCTCCTTACTTGCAAAATAATTCTAACCTCACCCACTTGCATGATTGATATGAGAATCCTGAGAATGTACTGGCAAAATACTTTGTAAAATCTGGAATCATATGTGTAAAGTCCTATTAATACAAACCCCTTCAGTTTTTCTTCCAGAAGTTTCAGTTCTTCAGCTCTAGCTTTAGTCTCTTCTTCCAGTTGCTTAACCAACTGTTCAGATTTTTCCTCCTTTTGCTGTAATTTATCTAGCTCATCCAGAGCTTGCTTTAATTCTTCCTCAAATAGATTCTTCTCTTTCATCATGTCCTCTTGAAAAGAACAGAGTTTCTGCTGAAGACTAGTAGATAATTCCTACATTCAACAGAAAACCACCAACATTATTCAAAAGGTTTAAATAATTTAATAATGTGTGAGGTTTTATTTAGGACAGAAAAATGTACATGTAATGAAGTAAGAACATCAAATTCAAGATCCTCAAGGAAATTGGAAAAAAATATGAAGATATCATATTCACTTTGTCAGGGAGTATATCCTATAACTTGTCAACATTGTGATAAATGTTACTTTAGTCTTTTTTCTATGAAACACATACACAAACCTACTTCTTGTAAAACTAAAATTATATTCTACAACTGGCTTTTTAACATATTTTTGTCATATGACATTATATAAAAAGGACTATGATTTCAATGTTATATAAAAATATTTTAAAGTTATATGAGTACACACCAATAAAAAGATAAATATAAGTAAATTATGATTGTAAAAAATTTTGACATCATCAATAAAGAAAAAATTGCCTTGACTGCTCCCCACCCCAATCTTACTTTCCCCATTGCAGAGATAACCACTACTTTGATATATTTGCTTTAAGGTCTTTTCTTATTATTTATATAATACTTCTTAACATATGAAAAATACTGTGTATATAAAAGTCATTAAAAAAACACAAAAATGGTTATTGAGATTTTTAAGTTGGTATATACAGATTTACTTAATTTCTTTAGTTTTTGTAGATTCTTCAACAATATAATATTTATATATTGTCCAACTCTCAACAAGGGTCTTTTTTTTTAATCAAATGTTTAAATTTGTGCCAATCATATAAGAAAAAAGGAAAAAAAAAGGATTTTTATTTCTTTGATTACTACTAAGGTAGAACATCTAGTAACCTTTATAGGCTCTCTAAATTTCTATTCTAAGAATTATGTATTTCCATCCTATGCCCATTCTTTCTTAGTAGACTTTTTTCTCAAAGACATGTAAAATGTTTTTTACATAACCTGGATTATAAGAAATTTTCCCTTTTCTCATATAATATATGCTTTTTTTTCAACATAACTGTAAATGCCTATGTAATACTCTAACAACAAGAGTGTGCTGGAAAAGGTTTTTAAACAATTTCCTTATTTTGCTTCCTCTGTTGATTATAATTTTTCACATTATCAATAATCTTGTGGTAAACATTAAAAAAGTTATTATTTTATTTCAGAGAAGAGAGAGAGGGAGCAATAGAAACATCAGTGATGTAAGAGAATCATCAATCGGCTGCTTCCCCCATGTCCCCTACTGGGGATGGGCCCTGACCAGAAGTGAACTGTGACCTCCTGGTTCATACTTTGACATTCAACCCTGAACTACACCAGCAGGGAATTAACCCTTTGCAGTTAAATCTGCTGCATAACTATAATTATTTCCTCAGGATAAAATCCTAAATATAGAATTGGTGGATCACACGTTATATATACAATTTGAAAGTGTTCTGACCACAAGGAAATGCATGACATAAGTACTAGTTTTATTTTACATTGTAGAAAACTACCTTCTCTTGTTGTAGAAGTGAATCAATTTGCAACTCTTTTTGCTGTAGCTTTTCATGTTCTTGTTTTTCAAGAATTAACTTCTCTTTTAAGTTTTGTATTACAGAATTCAGATGTTCATCCCGTTCTCTGTCCCTGTTGATAAGGTCTTCTAGAAAAGAGAAACGTTAACAATGCTGAACACAGATATGGACAATAGCTTTGAACAACCCAGATCGCCATTATATTTCATTATACATACGTTCCATTAACATACATAGCATGTTAACAGAGATCAAGTATTTTCAAAGGAAAAAAAAAACCCTCTTCATTTATATCATATTCTACATGTCATATAATGACCCCCCCCACACACCTACTTCTTTGTACCTACCAACTTTAAATGGCTACCAAATGGAGAAGTCAAATAATGTAAAACTGTATATGTTTACAAGATAAGCAACATATTAAATAGAACATACATTATAAAAGACTACATTCTCATAAGTAGAACAGAATTTTTTTGTTGTTTACATAATTATTTTAAAAAGTTGTTTTTAAACATAGCAGTGCTTTTTTTAGATGCTGTATGTAGTACTTAGCTGAAGACAGTGATACTGCAAACACTTGAATACCTTTTTCTTTTTCAAGTAGCTGACATTTAGCATTCAGGTCTTTTACTTGTTCAGACAACGTAACAATATTTTCTTCAAGAGACTGCTTAAGGCTTAACACTTCACAATTCTTCTCTTTCAAATTTTCTTCTAGCTGGGCAATGTCTAGCTTGTATTTTTCCACTTGATCTGAGGCACAACTGCATTAAAACAAACTATTTTGAAGAGCACATCTATTTAAGCATAGGAAAAATTAACTGAACAGAAATGAAAATGATGTATTCATCACAATTCAACAAAATGAGGCCCGATTTAAAAGCACTTTTAATATTACCTTATTTCTTCAATGTATTCCAAGAGTTTTTCAGTTTCAGATTTTTCATCAATCTTTTCTTTCTGTATTGAAACACTAAAAAAAGGGTGTGTATATTAATACATACAATGATCACATATGGTGCTTATTCTGTACCAGATACTGCTGTATCAGGCAGGTTGATGCCAGAATCTAAACTCTGTGACATCTCAAGTTGACAATTTAATATATGCAAGTAGGAGACCTAAGTTTTTTTAAGTGAGAAAGCTTTCCAAATATATACTGACAAAAGGGCCATGAGAATGAGAGTCATCATCTACAGCGCTCCAGGTGACAGAAATAATCTTTTTTGTAGCTTTCCTGGCTTTCCTACCCACCACACAGACAAAAGAGCACCTGTATGCCATAAAGCCTTTGTTCCAGGCTGCCTTAATGCAATTACTTATGTGTTTACCTTCTCCAAACACCGCAATTTAAGCAAAGGGCAAAAGACTTAGAGACCTTACAAAAGAATATATATGAATGATCTGTTATAAAGATATAATCGACATTAATAGCATATAAATTAAAGCCACAAAAGAGATACTACTTCACAGGTACTGCAAGGGCTGGAATCGCACTGACAGCAAATGTTGGTGAGGGTGTGGAACCACTGAAACTGATACATAGCTAACTGTGTAAAATGGAGTGCAAAATGGTTCATCTGCTTTGAGTTTTTGAAAATGTTATAGATATACCCTGTGACCCAGGAATTCCATTCTTATTTACTCAAGAGAAATAAAAGCATATGTCCACAAAGGGCATATATAGCAGTCTCATTCATAATAGTCAGAAACTGGAAACCCAAATGTCAATCAACAGGAGAATAGTAAACAGATGGAGGCTTATAAACACTTGCCTGCAATAATAAATGTGCCCCCCCCCCCCCAAGCCAAACTAATTTATGACAATGGAAGTCAGAGAGTGGTTGCGGGGTGGGGAGCATTACCCAGGGAGGAGCAGGAACAGCAAGCATGGAAGAACTTTGTGAAGGGATGGCAGTATTCTCTACCATATTCGGGTGGTGGTTATTCAGGTACATACAACTGTCAAGAGTCATCAAACTGACTACTTGTGATCTGTGTATTCTATTGTATGTCAGTGAGAGGCTAGAACTGTGCATTAATCACAGCCTCCCATACCAGTGCTTCTCAATTTGGGTCAACTTGACCACTACCATAAGATTAGGCTATTAGAAAGCTTTTGAGGTCTCTCCTCATCACTGATACAGAAGATGTACACAAGTAATAATAGTTGTATATCTTTTCAGCCTAAACTGTTTAGGAATGAGTAAGTCTCAATTATCACTTAGGAAAAGAAATAAGGCAATGAGAGAAAGGCCATGAGGTAAGTACTGTGGGAAAGTTAACATCCCAGAAAGAAAAGCAGATGAGAGCAGTGAATCCGGAATGAACGCTTTCCTTTAGGCACTCACAGTTTCCCCTCGAGCTGTGCTACTTTCCCTTGAGACTCTTCCAGGTTCTTCTGGGTGACATGCAATTTCACCTCCATGCCTTGTTGTTTAGCCATCATACTCTACACAACAGAAACATGTTGCAGGAAATAAGAAACTGTTCAGACCTGCAGAACCAGACCAGCACACTCAGCAAAGACATCACTCACCCTCATCTTAGCTTCTCTTTTGTTTCTAAGCTTCATCAGCTCAAGGCTTAGAATCCTCAGGTTCTTCTGGTTGCTATCTTCTGAAAACTAAGTACAATAAACACGGAAAAGATTCAGAAATATTTCCTGTTAAATTATATAACAAATCGCTGACGTATTGATTATTATTGATTAGTACCAGTTGCTGGGACTGTGATTTGCCTGCAGTATATGCTGACAGAGCAAACAGCCTTTGATGAACCAGGATTACTATTCACACTATTGTTCTTGTCCCTCCTTCTCCTTCATGTGACTTTCTGGTTTATTTCTGAAAGTTGTTTGGGTGGTCACCTACCTCTATATATTGGCAAGTTCTTTGCAAGGCTCTAATAAAAACTTCTTGGAGAGGATTTCATAAAGGGTGTTTGCTTAACAAAAATGCATTTAAATTGCCTGGTCTGCTTTGAAACATGTGAGGGATACAGAGTCTATCCAAGGCCAACTACATCAGATCTCCCTGGATGGGGCCCGGGAATCTGTTCCCATGGTTAGTTCCTACGCAGTCTCACTCCCTTTGTAAGCAAAGAGCCCAGCACACAGGACGCGAATAAATGACTCTGAAACTCAACAGTGAGTTACAGCTTCCTTCTACTTCTGTAAAAAGCGAAATGACTATGCTAAGACCTATTAGTACTGATAAACACAATTCATTGATTGAACATATTGATTCATTTTGCACTTTATTCCCAAGAGGATTTGAGATGGAAGCAGGCTATCATACTACTCATTGTTTCAAAGGGAGATTTTTAAAGTAACTTCTAGATGTAAATGCTGCAACTTTGGTTAATGTTCTTATTTATGGAGGTTACTTTGAAAGAGGATGAGAAAATGTCAGGCATTATAACAAAAAGTAACATGTTTGTTTATAAATTCTTATGTGCCAGGCAACATAATAAAAAAGATACTATAATAATTCCTACTGGAAGCAGCTTAATATTTAAGGTACATTTAGAGAAGGAAAAAAGACTAAATTAGAGTCTAAAATTCCCCCCAAAAATAGTGTATGAGAAAAAACATGTTTATTATTTATCCAATTGTCAATCTTGTGGTCCAAATACCTTAGATTTGAGTAGCTCGTTAGTCCTGGTTAACTCAGTAAGCTGCTTTTCCAGCGAAGCATTGCTTGCAGAGAGAGATGTCTTTTCCCTGACCGCAGCGCTGAGCTTTGCTTCCATCTTCTCCAGCTCAGCTTCCAGATCCTGGAGGCGCTTGTCCTGAGTCCCGCGTTCCTGAAGGAGGACGCGAATCTGGGTGGAGACAGGTGAGGAAGGAATGATACATGAACACAATGCCAGCATAACTACCTGCTACTGATAAGTAAAACATTCAAGTTCCAGGAAAATCTCTTACTGTGACACCATGCTCTGCGCGAACAATCATATTTAATTTATGAGGCATCTTAAAAATCTGTAAGCATTACCTGGCCACTATGGCTCAGTGGTTGAGTGTCAAACCATGAATCAATTCTCAGTTCGATGCAAGAGGCAATCGATTGATGTTTCTCTCTTTCTCTCTCTCCCTTCCTCTCTTAGTATAAAATCAAACAACACTTTATTTTTTAATTTTTTTATAAAATATATTTTATTGACTTTGTACAGAGAGGAAGGGAGAGAGATGGAGAGTTAGAAACATCGATGAGAGAGTGTCATCGATCAGCTGCCTCTTGCACACCCCCTACTGGGGATATGCCTGCAACCAAGGTATTAATACATGCCCTTGACTGGAATCGAACCCGGGACCCTTCAGTCCCCAAGCCAACGCTCTATCCATTGAGCCAAACCAGTCTCGGCAAAACACTTTTTTTTTTTTTTTTTTTAAAAAAGGTCATTTCAGGAGGAAGACATAGGCTTCAATTTATTGTGCACTTATATAACTTTAAAATTTAAATAGCACATACTGACAGACGTAAAAGGGAAACAGATGAATTCACAGAACTAAAATTTTAAAAATAGCTCTCATAGAAACTAATAGAATAATATCAGTATAAATATTTGAACGGGACTATTAACCACCTTGAACTGACATATATGGACTACTATACCTAACAAATGCATAGATATTTTTTTTAGTGCACAGAAAACATTTACCAAACTCGACTCTTTGCTTGTTATGAAAGTAACAAGAAAGCATAGCTGTAGTAAGTCACACGAAAAATATTTTATATTCTTACTGGCTTTGTATTTATTCCAATCTCAGTATTTTAAGCCAACACTGCTTAACTAAAAATGTATTAAGCATCACTTATGTGAACTAGAGGCTAGGGACTGATTGGACTTTGAGAGTCCCTACCATAAGATTCGCAGTGCTTACATTATTGTTTATAACTGGTGTTTTTAGCATAGTATTATACAGTCAAAAAACAAACACTGAGATAATCTACATCACACTTTTTGCAGCTAAAGAAGCTTAAGTTAAGAAAAAAAAAAAAAGCGTTTGTAAACTCAAATACCTACGTGCTAAACACAAGACATAAACAAGTAAAGAGAGCCAGGTGAGGGTTGAAGAGCAAATGTGGGGGATCTGAAGAGGCAGCCCTGCACAGGCCAGGAAGGGAATGTGGGAACAGTGTTTTCAGATCTGCTTTTGGAAGAGAAGGCGAAAATCTGAATTTGTTTTGCATGAAACTTTCCATTTAAATACTGACAACCAATTCAAGTTAAAAAAACAACAGCAAATATTTTGGGGCTTAAATAGAGCTCTATTTGCTAAAAATCTCCGTTTTAAAAGATTATCTGACCCAAATGACCAGTTCTAATCCTGAAACTGCCACTTACCTACTATCTAAGTGAGAATCACCTATTACTGCTCCCCCTCCTCCATTCATCCTTTTTCATGTATCCTCAATAAAATGATAGCTGCAAGGCTGGTGTGACTCAGGGGTTGAGTGATGACCTATGAGCCTGGAGGTCACAGCTCGATTCCAGGTCAGGGCATATGCCCCCATTGCAGGATCGATCCCTGGTGGGGGGTCTGCAGGAGGCAGCCAATCAATGACTCTCTCTCATCATTGATGTTTCTATCTCTCCCTCTCCCTTCCTCTCTGAAATCAATAAATTAAAATATAATAAAAAATAAATAAAATGATAGCCAATATTATTAAAAATAAATACAAAAGGATCAGATTAACCAGGGCTGAGATTTGCAAAGTTACCTTGATATATTCTTGGTCCTAAACCAAAATTTTACTGTAATCAACAAAAAGTTTTAATATATCAAAAAGAATATGTCCACCAGAAAGAGTCAGTAATGGAAACATGGGTAAATTAATGGCAGAAAAGCAGAGCTGGCAGTGACCAGCTTAGCCCTGCTTAGGGAAGTGAGTGGGTTCTTCAGGTCAGCTCAGCTCAATAGGAATTTCTGCCATGGTGGAGATGCACTGTCCAGTATGGTAGCCTCCTCTCACATTGGGCTATTGGACACTTGAACTGTGACTAGTGCAACTGAAGAACTGAGTTCTTAATTTAATTTCTTTAAATAGTAGCATGTGGTAAATAAATACCATGTAACAGGGCAGCCCTCACTCATTTTATGCTTGAGGGAGGCCTATATCACTGGTGCAGAGGAATGCATCAAATTATCAACACTCTATCACAATTCAACTAGCTTGCTAGGATTTTATGCTCACTAAGCAATTCCCTAGTTAGTCATTGTCTTAACATGCAGAGTAGCTTACAGGAAAAGTAAATGTAAATACCGCATCTACATATAATTGTAGTAAACCAACATTTTGATTTTTTGTTATCATTTTTTCATTAAATGGGTTATCCTGAAGCTGTCCCTCAGTAAGCTAACAACCTGACTTTGTCAGCATCCCACACAGACACCCAGGTTCTGATATAGGGTGCCTAAGCCAAGGGATGATTACCCTGTAGGCACTGGTCTGATCTAGTGTGACTCCTCAAACTATATACAACAGAATCCCTGTCTTAATTCTATGTAATTTTCTTTCCATTAAACACAGCACATTTATTTTTTATTTTCCAAGAAGTTGAAAGCATTGCTTACCTCTTTTTCCAACATCTTCAAGTCTTTATCATTCTTTTGAGATTCCTTCTATTTAAAAGTCAAAGAATAGTGATGGTCAAATTTTAGTGCCACAATTATCATAGCTGAATTCTATTTTGAGTTATCAGAAAAGATTAAGGATTCCAAACAGTTAATTTATATTTTAAAATTTTCCCTGAGTCTATTAAACACTTTGTAGGTGACTTAGTAAATGAGGAAAAAGGTTCCTTAAATCTCAAAATATTTCAGGCTTAAAAGTTTTAATCTCAATCAAATTAGATTTTTTTTTTTTTTTTCTTAAAAAGTCCAGGGATGTCCTACTGGTTTGCCTCAGTGGATAGCACATTGGCCTGTGGATAGAAAGGTACCAGGTTCGATTCCAGTCAAGGGCATGCACCTTGGTTGAAGGCACATCGCCAGTAGGGGATGTGCAAGAGGCAGATGATTGATATTTATCTCTCATTGATGTTTCTAATTCTCTATCCCTCTCCCTTCCTCTCTGTAAAAAATCAATATATATATATATATATATATATATATATATATATATATATAATTTTATATATATATCAACATAAATATATAAACAAAATTATATGTATATATAACAACATATATAAATAAAATTTTATATATATATAATTTTTTTAAAAAGTCCAGTGAAAAAGAACAGAGGAGCTTTATGAATAAAACTACTGACTGCTTCTTTCTAATGTTAATCAGCAATACAGTTTGAATTTTTAATTATGCTATCTCATAAAGAAAAGAAATTTAGAAAGAGAAATCAACTTAAACTTACAGACCCAAAGAGGGGGGAAAATTCAAAGAAATAAAGACAAACTGAAATGGTACAGTTCATAAAACGGGTAGAACATAAAATCACCTCACCTTTAATCCCAAAGTCTTAACCTTTCTTGCTGAAGCAGGCAAGGTAGTATCTTTGTCAACAGTAAGATTTTGTTGAGATTCTGCAATAAATTGTACCACAGACAAAACACAATTTCAAAATTTCTTATTGCAACTATCAGTGAAGCAATATAATGTTATTCTTTTCTTGGCTGTATATTTCTAAATAATTAGTTGCACAATATATTTTACATGTCTAACATTTTTCTGATTTTCCTAATGTTCCCTGACAGAAGGCTAAGGTAATTAACAAAAAGGGAAACGAGCCCTAACTGGTTTGGCTCAGTGGATAGAGCGTCAGCTGTGGATTGAAGGATCCCAGGTTCAATTCCCCTCAAGATGCACATGCCAAGGTTGCTGGCTTGATCCTCAGTAGAAGGCATGCACAAGGCAGCCAATCAATGATTTTTTTGATCATTGATGTTTCTATTTCTCTTTCCCTCTCTCTTCCTCTCTGAAATCAATAAAAATATATTTTATAGCCAGGACCGGTTTGGCTCAATGGATAGAGCGTCGGCTTGGGGACTGAAAGGTCCCGGGTTCGATTCCGGTCAAGGGCATGTACCCTGGTTGCCGGCATATCCCCAGTAGGGGGTGTGCAAGAGGCAGCTGATCGATGACTCTCTCTCATCGATGTTTCTGACTCTCTATCTCTCTCCCTTTCTCTCTGTATAAAATCAATAAAATATATTTAAAAAAAAAATATATATATATTTTATAAAAAAAGGGAAATGACATATTTACATTGAGTGTTCTGTACAATTTTCCTGATTACACAATAGTGTAATGATAAAAACATTATTCTGTAGTTGGCTCTCATAAATCCATCAAATACAAACTTATTATTTTTCAAATACAAAAATTTAACCATACCTTTTAATTTCACATTTTTAGAAATACCATAGCAGCTTTAAATGTATGTACTATTATTCATAACTTTAAAACTTATGAGGTCATATAACCATCATTTTAGTATTTTGGGATTCAGTACCTTTTTGCTTTTTAAATCTTTGTGATTTCTGAAAGGATACTGGTCCTTTCAATACTTCTGAAGTCTTCACATCATAAGCACCTGGAGATGGTGCACAGCCTAGAGGAAACAGAAAACATTAATGATTCTTCTAATGTCATTTAGAATCTTAAGTTAAAACATGCAAAGTAAAGTGAGTAATATAAATGTAAAAAATGCTATAAATAGACACTTGGTTCTTTCAAATGTAAAAATAGCACCGTTTTGATCTGAGGAACAATATCAAGTTCCCAAATGCCCTTTATTTCACTTGGGTCAAAGGAATACAGGCAACTGGGCAAAACAGCAAAGACAGTCTTGGGATGAACATTATGAAAGAATAAGCAACATGGTTTTCTTTTTAAGGATTGACTAGGAAAAATAATATATTTGGAATCAATGCTATTCAGAGTCTTTGAGGTTAACTTTCATCAGATTCTAGAAATGAAGCAAATAAAAGTGTCAAGCCCTCAAGAGTTAGCCTGGAAAAAAAAAAAAATGTAGCGTGACAATTTATCTCTGCCTAATATCAATACATCAAAAAATTTGTAACGCCATAGACTATATTTTTATGTCTCAGACATTTATATTTTATAACCTCATGTAAGTAAACTAAGTCCCAAATTAAAGGCATTTCAGAGTGCTTATGCATAGTAAAAGTAAGATCTGGCTCTCAGGACTAACAATAACAAAAATGTCATTAGCACAAAGCTTTAGCTGATTGGAAATCAATGGCATTATACTATTCTCTCTCTCTCTCTCTCTCTCTCTCTCTCTCTATATATATATATATATATATATATATTTTTTTTTTTTTTAATTGATTTTTTTTTACAGAGAAGAGGGGAGAGGGAAACAGTTGGAAATATCAATGAGAGAGAAACATTGATTAGCTGCCTCCTGCACACTCCCCACTGGGGATGTGTCTCCAACGAAAGCACATGCCCTTAACAGGAATCAAACCTGGGACCTTTCAGTCTTTAGGCTCAGTGGTCTATCCACTGAGCCAAACCAGTTTGAGAGTAAATACCTTTTATGACCACTCATTGGATAAGCTCCTGTATGCCACCACTTGCAGTGTTTTTGGTAACTTGAGTTATAAGAATCCAAAAAGTTGATCTAGGGTTTTTCCACCTCACTCCTGGAGGAAAAAACGAAGGTCTGCTGCTGGAGGGGCTAAGAAATGTCATATCCTGCCCTAGCTAGTTTGGCTCAGTGAATAGAGCCTCAGCCTGCTGACCACAGGGTCTGGGTTTGATTCTGATCAAGGGCAAGTACCTAGATTGCAGGCTCCTTCCTGGCTGGAGCCCAGATAAGGGTTCATGCTGGAGGCAACCATTCAAAATGTTCCTCTCACATTGATGCTTCTCTCTGTCTTTCTACCCTCTCTAAAAATCAATGGAAACATATCCTCAGGTGAGGAAAGGAAGGAAGGAAGGAAGGAAGGAAGGAAGGAAGGAAGGAAGGAAGGAAGGAAGGAGCACATCTCCTGAGGGTTCCCAGTCTGTGAGAGGGGGCAGGCTGGGCGCAAATTTTTTGGGTCACTAGTTTGAATAAAAAATGGGGCTTATTAACTAAAGTAACATAAACAAACAAGGACAGGGGGAGGTGGGGATCAGAAAGGCATTTCACAGAGAGAATGTCATTCCTGGAATCCAGGCTGAGCAGAGGCAGGCTTTTGGGGTAAGGGTAAGTTAAGAATCTTAGAGTGGCTCACACACTAAATGTTATACTATTCTCTGAAAAGCTATTTACTTCCGCCGAGTTTCATGCAAATAGGAACAGCAGGAGTTTGACAATCACAAAGCAACTCCTCCTATCCCCTAAGTGTTTTTCAAATGGGATGATAAGAACTCATTGTACATCTTCACTAGCATTTTTTATAAAGCGAAACAATAGAAAATATCCGTGTGACTCACACACAGCAATTTTGCTCTGAAACCAATAAAAATATATTTAATAAAAACACAATAATCGGAAGCCAACACAGGCAGTGAGGCAATGCTTTTGTATGCACATAAACAGTCTATGCACTGCATTAAATAAATGCTTCAAACTTCCAGAACGTTTTAGTTTTTCTTCCACCTCGAATGGCTAGTTTTGTCTGGCTAACTCTCACTTATCCTTCTAATCTCAGCCTGATGTCATCTCTTCCAGTTTCCTCCGAACCCTCCAATCAGGTTATAGCCACCACATAGCAGCCTGTGTGTGTCATTCCTATCACTGAACTCCCCACTTTTGCTAAAAGGTGCATGCTCTTATAGTGTACTTATCCATTTCCCCCACATTAGACAATGTACTATCCATCTCCCTCATCAGACTAACTGCTTGGAGGTAGAGATTGTCTTAATCACGACTGTATCCCCAGGATTTAGCTCAGGGTGGAGATAAGCAGTGTGGTGAATACCCAGAAAGTCACTAGGGATGTGGCAAAAGGAAGAGGATTTTGCCATCAGCCAGATTAGGATTCAAATCCAACTTTGTCTGCCAATCCATAAACATCACTGTGTGCCAGATACAATGTAGTTATTGGGAGAAGATGGTGAATAAGAACATTTCCATTTCCATACTGTCTTACAGAGATTAAAGACAGTGACCATTAAGTGTATGTTATAATGGATAAATCGTGGTTCAGCTCTACCACTTACAGGCTGCTCAGTACAGTTACAAAAACCCTCAGTTTCCTCATCTGTAAAGTAAGGACAGTATCAGCACCTTCCTCATTTGGCTGTTGGAAAAAAAATAAACCAGATCTAGGAGGAAAAATCTTAGCACAGTCCCTGCATAAAGTTAGTCTGTCATAAATGATGGTCTTACCAACCACATGCAAGGTTTCCTGGTTATTTTTTTTTAAATATATTTTATTTATTTTACACAGAGAAGAATTGAGAAGGATAGAGAGTTAGAAACGTCAATGAGGGAGAAACATCGACCAGCTGCCTCCTGCACACCCCCCACTGGGGACGTGCCAGCAACCAAGGTACATGCCCTTGACCAGAATCGAACCCGGGACCCTTCAGTCCCCAGGCCGACGCTCTTCCACTGAGCCAAACCGGCTTAGGCAGTTTCCTGGTTATTGTACTTAGGCCCTGCAGTGGTTAAGAGCACAGGATGGAATTCAAGGAGGCCCGGTTTGGTTGTGTAACGCAGGAAGTGTAAGTCTTGGTCATTTTATTAGGAACATAATGAATAGGATCACCTTTCCAGGATGTCGCGGAATTAAAACAGAACTAATCATCTGTGTAAAGACCGTCCATATTAACTGCCCTTCCTTCATTTATAAGTGTTTCTGATACGCCCACAATTTCGCCACCACAAACTGCCTTTACCAGCCTTCTTTCCTTTATGCCTGAAAAGAAATCCACACGGACAGACAAAAGAGCGTGGTCAGGTGTGTGTGTGTGTATGTGTGTGTTTAACCGCAACTTCCACACGGGACCACCCAATAGCTACCACCGCTTTCTCGCACCTATTCTTTCTCTGATTCAGTGTCCACACAGCCCTAGGCTGTCGTCTCTCCAACGGAGCGGAAGCTCCATGGGGCAGACCCCATGCGTCGCTCACTGCTATATCCTTATTATCTAAATATCTAAATTATGCTTGGTATGTAGTAAATGTTTAATATGTATTTAAGAAGAAAAAAAAAACCACACACGCACGAATCAACTGAATGAACCCCAAGCCAGCCCTAAAATCGCCTCCAATTGCTCTGTGACGGAGGGACCGAAAGGGGGGGGGGCAAGGGGCGTGAGAGCAACTCCGGCCCCCCAGTCCCTTCCCCAGTACGCACCGGAAGGGTCATTGAATCGCTTCAGGGGCGCCTTGGGAAAGGACATGATGACCACCGGCTCCACAAACCCAAGGGAACCAGCGTCCCTCCGCCGCCTCCCGGTGCTGATCCTGGTGGTACTGGCTTTCAAATTCAAATCTCCCGGCTCCTTACCCGCCCACCCCGGCGTGAGCCAATCGGAAAACCAAAACCTTGGGCGCACCAATCCAGGAAAGGAACATGAAAGGGGCATGCGTACTCAGCTCTCGCCGCACCCAATCAGGTAGCTTGTGCGTCTAGGCTGCCAGCCTATAGGAGCCCACTACCGCCTTCGCCGCCCCGCCCCCTCCTCTGCCCAATCACCGCTGGCGTTACTCAATTGTAACCCACCCTCGGGCAGCGTTTGCGCATGCGCGCTTCAAATCGGAGCAGCCTGACACTCGACCTGTGGCGTCACAAAAGTGGCGGCGAGTTCCAGCCTCGCTGGTCCCAACCGTCTCTTATCGTTCCCGGAAATGTCAACTGTCCCGGGTTCCAGTTGTTTTAGATTTGGTCCTGCCAGCGTCCTCAGCAGCCAAGGAAAAGGGAAACAACAAACGCGCTGAGAGCTGAGCGTACACCTCTGCGCATGCGCGGTGACCCGAGCGGAAACGGGCGCCGAGGAGCCGGGGCGTGGCCTGAGCGTGGAGATTCTGCGCGTGCGCTCAGCCCTCGCTCGGTGCCGCGGCCGCGGCCGGGAGCCACCGGGAGCATGTCGGCCCCCTTCGAGGAGCGCAGCGGGGTGGTTCCGTGCGGGACGCCCTGGGGCCAGTGGTATCAGACCTTGGAGGAGGTGTTCATTGAGGTGCAGGTGCCGCCGGGCACTCGCGCCCAGGATATCCGGTGCGACCTGCAGTGCCGGCACGTGGCGCTGGCGGTGGGTGGCCGCGAGATCCTCAAGGTAGCGGCCGGCCGGGCTGGCGCCCACGTTCTTCGCGGCCTCCCTCCCCGAACCCCCGAGTCCCGGGGCTCCCGGTTTCCGGGGGGAGACTGCGGGAAGGCCGATGGGCTTTTCTGGTTTTGGTCTGATAAGGAGCCCCCCCACCCCCACCCCACCACCACCACCTCCAGGACTAGTCCTGATGCGACGTGGACATTCGAGGAGCCTATTTTTTCTTCTGGCTTTGTTTCTAAATCCAATGGAATTGCTTCTGTTGTGCCTCGGCGGGTCTTCAGCGGAGACAACTAGATCGTTTAAGGAAATAAATAGTGATATTTCCAAACACACTCTTCCAGGCGCCGCCCTGAGTCAGCCAGGAGGGATGGCAGCGTTGAATGAGACAGATAACGGCACTGGTTATGGCCAGCAGGGGAGCATAATAAAAGTATTACTACAGATAGTGAGGCAGTTACAGGAAAGTGAAGAAGACACTCTAGGATAAGGACTTCGGCATGAGGGTTCAGAGAGGGTGTCGGGTGTTTTTGTTCACCTAAAGATTACAAAAATTCTTCTGCCTGTTTCTAGAGTAATAGCCCTTTCATTACCAGGGCCCTTTGGATCTGCGGTCCACTTTTGCCTGGTGATGCTTTATAGTTAAAATCAATGAAGTCAAAGCTAGATTCCTGTCTCAGAGTAGCTGCTGCAGATGTTTGATGGCACTGGGAAAGACGGATGGCATTCCTGGTTCTGCCATTTTTGTAGTTTTGAAACTTTGGGCAAGAGATCTTTCAGTGTCTTCATCCATAAAGTACAGTGATTATAGTACCATTTTTATAGGACTGTTTTGAGCCATGTGAATGAAGAACTTGGAGTAGTGCTTGGTATGTAATAAGCACACGGGACATGTTTGCGGTTAATTTTTCTTTTTAAAAAACATATTTTATTGATTTTTTACAGAGAGAAAGAGAGGGATAGAGAGTTAGAAACATCGATGAGAGAGAGAGACATCGATCAGCTGCCTCTTGCACAACCAAGGTACATACCCCTGACCAGAATTGAACCCGGGACCCTTCAGTCCGCAGGCCGAGGCTCTATCCACTGAGCCAAACCGGTTTTGGCTAGCAGTTAATTTTCTATTGAAGTGCTTTAAGAAAAGCACCATTGATTGGAAAGACTTTTCTATCTACTGGACTAATGATCTTTCTGAATAGCTTTGCAGTCCATAGTTTCCTGAATAGTGGTTTAAGGTTACAAATCAAATTTCCAATTACTTGGGAATTTAGCAATCACTCATTAACTCTAAGATTTCAGGTGTACATTTAGACCACTAGGATTTTTTTCCCCACAAGTATTGACATGCAAAAGTAAATATGTATTTGTTAACATGATATTTTCTAAAAACAAATTTGGCAAGCAACAAATAAATGGGTTTCAGCATATGCATTCTCCTTTAAACTTACATTTTGCTTTTTACTTAAAACCAGTTTCTGAAGAAAAACTGGAACTACTAATCTTAGATCTGTAGTATGTGCTAAAGTAATTTGTTAATGCCAATTTGCCCAATAAAGAGAATGAGCCAGTTTGTTTTTTGTTGATTTTTTTAGAATGAGCTAGTTGTTAAAAGTTTATTTTAAATGACATAATTTCAATCGCTTCTCGGCCTTTTGGCTAAAATCAAGTGTAGTATCTGTCCTCATCAGTTTAAATAACATAATTTCTTCTTAATTTCATCAGGAGAGCTCTTATGTTTTAATTGATAAACCATTTCAGTTATTTATTTTGTATTTGGCTAATCAGTGATCAGTAATATTTCTTAATCTTCTAAAAATTAAGGATCCCTGATCTTTCTTTAGAGAACCCCATGTTTTTTGTCATAGTAAATATTTCAGGCAGTGTAAACCAGGTTTCATTTCATTTGCTAGGAAGAAACTTAGGGTTGAGCACCTTTTAGTGTGTTGAAATGCTATAAGATTTTATCTCCCTATTCTAAACAAATTAGACAATTTTATGTGACTTAGATAGGAAATAAGGTAAATCTTAAATCATGAAGGATTCCCTTTCAATAAGATTTAGTTTTCCCTATTTACTAGTACGTCTGCTATTTGATACAAAGTTTATAAAAATTAATGAAATTTCTATATTTTTAGTAATTTATCTGTTTATTTTTCAGGGCAAACTTTTTGATTCTACAATAGCTGATGAGGGAACATGGACTTTGGGTAAGGGTAATTTATAAGTCCTAGGGTCTTTCACAAGTTAATTTTGTCTTGGAACTTAGTATGTTTTCCCTGTTGTATTTGGTGCTTTGTTTTTGAAGTTTTGAAAGATATATTAATAGAAATGTATTGAGAGTAAGTTTGTTGTGTAAAGATTACCTAATGTTTTTTGAAAATAGAAAATTTAATGAACTCTAATTTGTGATTTCTGTTTGTTTATTTAGAGGACAGAAAAATGGTTCGTATTGTTCTTACAAAGACAAAGAGAGATGCAGCAAATTGTTGGACTTCTCTTCTAGAATCTGAATACGCAGCTGATCCTTGGGTGCAAGACCAAATGCAGAGAAAACTTACATTAGAGAGATTCCAGAAAGAAGTAAGTCAGATAAATGTATGCGTATGTATAAACATCTTAGAAACAATAATTATTTTTGGAAATTAAAACTCATGAGGTTATAAAATTATAAAAGTTCTGTAGAGGAATTTTAAAAGTTAAATGTTTAGAAAAATGGCCTTTTAATGCATGGATTTTTTTTTTAAAGTTTTTTTTGATAATTTATACTACCATGACTAATGTGTACAGTAATGGCTGAATAATCTCATAAAACTCAATCAATGTAGTCTTACATAGTACAAAAAAGTGAAGGCCTCTTCATCAACATCTCTGCTTTTCATGCCTCTATCTCAGTCTCATCTCATCAATTTATTGGCTTGTTTTGTTTTAACATAAGTGGAGACTCACACTGTATATTGTTTGTATTTCTTTTTAATAATACATCTTGGTTCTCTTTCTCTATTAGTACACATAGAAAAAAACTCACTTCTTTAACTCTTCAGGGTATTTTCTAGTTTGTAATATTTAGCTATTCCCATTTGATAAGATTTAGATTTCCCCATTTACTGGTATGTCTGCTATTTGAAACAAAGTTTATGCTGTCATCTCTGAAACTATTCAAACATTCAAATGTATATCTTTAGCTTAGACTTTTCTCCTGAATTTTGGACTCATAACCAATTGCCTATTCAATATCTCCATTTGGCTAGCAAACATTAAAGTCAGTACGTCCAGCATGGGGTTTCTAATCTCTCTCTCACATATGTTCTACCTCTAAGCTTCTCATCTCAGTTGATGGACATGAGTTTTCAAATAAAAGCATGTACACACACACACACACACGCACACACGCTAGAGGTCTGGTGCACCGGATTTGTGCACTGGTGGAGACGTGGCCTGCGGGGATCAGCCCATCGTTGGAGCACTGCTCATCCCAGTCAGTTGAGCAGCACTCCCACTGTGGGAGCACACTGACCAACAGGGGGCAGCTCTTGCATTGAGTGTGGTGGTCAGAGCACGTCATAGTGATTGGTTGAGCACGTCACACACATCATACACACACACACACACACACACACACATTTATCTACATATATGTGTATATATACACTTATATGTATGGTATATATGTATGTAAATATGTATGGGGCTGTGATCAGATAGAGTGTCAGCCCAGGGGACTGAAGGATCCCACTTCGATTCTGGTCAAGGGTATGTTCCTTGATTGTAGGCTCCCATGTCGATCCCAGACTGGGGTACGTGCAGAAGGCAACCAAACAATGTGTCTATTTCTCTCTCTGTGTCCCTCTCCCTTCTACTCTCTCTAAAAAATCAATGGAAATGTATATTCAGGTGAGGATTAAAGAAAAAAGGATGTGAGGCCGAAGCCGATTTGGCTCAGTGGATAGAGCGTCAGCCTGCGGACTGAAAGGTCCCAGGTTCAATTCCGGTCAAGGGCATGTACCTTGGTTGCGGGCACATCCTCAGTAGGGGGTGTGCAAGAGGCAGCTGATCGATGATTCTCTCTCATCGATGTTTCTAACTCTCTATCCCTCTCTCTTCCTCTCTGTAAAAAATCAATAAAATATATTTTAAAAAAAGAAAAGAAAAAGAAAAAGGGATGTGAGGAGTCGTCCTCTATTCCTGTCTGTCTCTTACACCCTATCCCTTTTGTCAGGAAATCTTAGTGGTACTACCACTGCCACCCTTAATGGGACTACCTCTGTCATCTTGTCTAGATTACTTCAATAACCTAATTGTTCTCTTCACTTCTATCTTTGCAAAGCTACAGTACTCTCAAAATAGAAGTTAGAGCAGTTCTTTTAAAATCAAGTCAGATTACCTTACTTCTCTTATCAGAACTTGTTCACTCTAGTTAAGATAAGGTCTCTTAAAGGGCTCCATCTGATCTGGTCTTCCATGATCTCCCTGATCTCTTCTCTTAATGCTGTCCCCCGTGGTCATTCTGCTCTAGCCACACAGGCCATTTTGCTGTTCCTTAAACATGTCAGGCCATTTCTTTTCTGTCATTTTCTTTTGCTAAAGCTTGGCTAACTTCAAAGTTTTCAAGTCATTGCTCAATGAGTATTCTTTGAGTTTTGACCATTCTATTTAAATACTGTAACTTCTTCATTTCCCTTCTTCTGTCTTACTTTTCTTCTTTTTCTAGAAGCTGCTCTACTTGCGTATTTTTTCCTATCTTGTCTTCTAGCTCACTGATGGCAGTCCTTTGCTTCTTCTAGTCTACTCTTGATGCTTTCTGTTGAGTTCTTTATAGCAGCAATGTCATTTTTCACTTTTCTTGATTTTTCTTCATTACCTCATATTGTCGAATTTGTCTTCCATTCTTTTCATCCACCTTATGACCATTTCTCTGAATTTTTTCTCTGACAGGTTGCTTGCCTCCATTTCATTTACTTCCTTTTCTGATGATGCCTGTTTTTCTTTCATATATGTGCTGTTTGTTTGTCTCCCCATGTTTTATCTTCTCCAAGTGTCTGGTTATGTAGTTCTCTCCTGCTCCCAGATGAAATCTGACCTTTCCATGGTAGAGTGTATAGCTCCTCTGAATAAACGTGCTTATGCCACTTGGGAACCGGTGTTCTCAGGTTCACAGCTGTTCGGTGGGTGCCATAGTTGTAGACTCCCCGGGCTTTTCAGGCTCCTGATAATATCCACTTTTCCTTCAAGATGGCGCAGTCATCTTGGGTTTGAGCTGATTGCTCCGGGAGGAAACCCAGCAGCAGTGGGGGCTGCCTGGTCAGGGAAACCCCGTCCGACAGTCCCCCACAGTCTCCTGGATTATAGCTGTTCCTCAACTCACCAACAAACTCTCCCCATGCGACCACACACTCTCCCTTTGTTTTCTCACTCACACACTATCTTGCAGTCTGCCTTCCCATCGGCAGCTATCTTCCTTCTCCTGTCCTACTTTTTTTTTTTTTTTTCTATAGTACTTACTAACTTTTAACATACTAAATACCAACTCTTAATACACTAGATCAGGGGCCTGCAATAGGTCAAGTCCATCTTGTTTTGGAAGTAAAGTTTTATTGAAACACTGCTATGCTCATTTGTTTGTGTATTGTCTTTCATAAGAGCAACAGTAAAATTGAGTAGTTAGGACTGAGATTATATGGTTTTCAAAGCCTAACATTTACTACCTGGCTCTTTACAGAAAAGTTTGCTGACTTCTGCACTAGATAACTTAATGGTTTATTATTTGTGTCTTGTTAGAGTGTAAACTCCACTGAAGCAGGAATCTTTGTCTATTTGTTCACTCTTGAATTCTACATGCCTCTAATAATGTCTTCCAAACATTAGAAACTCAATAAATGTTTGTTGAAATGAAATGTCCTGCGAAAGACTAAAACCTGGGGCAATGCTTACTTCATAAGATTTGAAGCTTCCTTATTAGGATTAACTATGTTAATATATGTATAGCTCTTAGAACCCTGCCTGGCATATAGCAAAGTCTCAAAGAATGCTATTAAAACCTGTTTGGACACTGATACTAAATTGTTAAAAAAAAGAAAAAAAAGTCTTTTTTTTTATCCTATGTATTTCATCCTATTTATCTCCTTTTTGCTATATATATATATATATATATATATATTTTTTTTTTTTTTTTTTTTTTTTTAAACAATCTCAAATGTGTTTGTCCATACACTTGTAAACATTGTAATACCCATATTGGATCTTCTAAATATTTGTAAGTCTGAACATTATAAAATTATAGTTTTAAGTTTTATTTTGGTGATTACAGTGCAGTTTGGTACATCTATACATGTTTATTGGCTATTTAGATTTCCATTTTTCTCACCTGCAGTTCAAGTCTTTTTATCAGTTTCCTTTGAAGTTACTTATAGTTTTCTTCATGAGTTTTATCAAATATTGTTGTTCATATCTTTTAGAATCCTGGTTTTGACTTCAGTGGAGCAGAAATCTCAGGAAACTACACTAAAGGTGGACCAGATTTCTCAAATCTGGAGAAATAACTGCTATTTTTTTGCTGCATTTTGTGGACCCTAGCAGATGTTACCAACTTGATCAAAGGAACAAATTATATGGTGGAAGAAAAGTGTGGATGGCTACAGTAAACACATTGCAAAATATATTTAAGTATGGTTCTAAAAATTGCATTCAAATATGATTTACATAGGAAACCTCTTAAATACTGGGGTAGCTATTAATATATGGTAACTTTTTTTGGACTTGGTTTTGCTCAGCATGAAGTTTCATATGATGCATTTTGCTAATTTCATATTAACCTATATTTTTAATACAAAAAAGTTAGGGAATAGATCATCATGAAAAGACAGGGTGCCTTCAGGGAAAATTAATTTTTTTCCTTCTAAGAAGTGTGATGCAGGAGTAATGTTCAGTGAACTTTTTAAAATAGGAATTGTGTATTTTTGGCTAAGTATACCATTCTATAGAAGGAAATTATATTAATGAAAACAATTTTAGGAAAGAAAAAAAATCCACAAGTATATTCTGAGTAAGTTAACTTTAAGAGTTAATTAAAATCTCTGAATTAGTATATTATTTCTTGAGCGATCTCTTTATTCAAGAAACTTAAAAGTAGTAAACCTCAAAATAGAAATGGATTAATACAAAAAGATATTTGGTGAAGTATGATTATTGGGCAAGTATATTGTTAGCACCATAAAACAAATTATGGTTAATGATTATAAATCAGTGACATAATTTTGATCTTCTGTGATCCAGGCATAGAAGGAAGAATTGTCTTGAAATTTTATTTCATCCTTTTTATCTCTTTATATATATAAAAAAAATTTAAACAATCTCAAATATATAGAATAGTTACAAATAAAGAACATAGAATTGTGTGTTTTTTCCCTCAACCAGTTTGTGTAAATTGATGACATGAAGCCCAATTACCTCTTTGTATCTTAGTCTGTATTTCCTTGAATACACACAGGCATGTATTTCCTTACATAATTCAATACAACCTTTAAAAGCAGAAAATAAGCATTGGCACATTACAACTGTCCAATTCTCAGACCTTCATTCCTTTCAAGTTCAATTGTCCCAATGTCTTTTATATTTAAAGCAAAGGTGTACAGTCAGAATCGTGCTTTCCCTTTAGATGTCACATCTCAACTGTGCTTAAATTTGGAACAAGTACTCATTTTTCCCTTGACTTTTACAACCTTGGCACTTTTGAAGATTACAGCCTTTTTTTTTATTTTACAACATTCCTCAATTCGAATTTTGTCGGATATTTCTTCATTAGGATCAGGTTTTGCATCTTTGGCAGGAATGCTAAAGAAGTAATGCTGTGTTTTTATTGCATCCTACCATGAGTTAATTTTAATTTGTTCTTTTTCTGATGGTGATTACTTAGATCACTGTTTAAATGGTATCCAATAGTCTTCTCCATTGTAAAGTTACTTTCTTTATGTATATGATTGAGTACTTTGTGGAGGTTAGTTTCAAATTATCTTGTTTCTTATCAAACTTTTATTGATATCTTTATGGACTCATTATTTCCTACTTTATTCAGCAGGTTAAAAATCTGTTATTCCTATTACTTTGATTCTCAAAATTTTTCTAAATTTGGCCAATGCCAGACTTTTGTAGGTGGCTTCTATGTCCTTTTGACATGTCCCCATCATTATCTGAGCAATTTCTTAATCTGTCACAAGGCGTATGAGGCTTATTATGCTTTCTCTGCCCTAGCCCAAGAATTAGCAATTTTTCCACGGAATTTTGGTTTTCATTCATGGTTTTTAGAAGTGTGCAATTACTGTTGATGTGTGTATAGTGCATACATTTACATCTATATTTATATGTATTGAAAACCATATGTACATACTTGGTTTTTAGTAAAGTCACTTTCATTTTTAATCTCCTTTGGTCATTTTTGTTTTCTCTGTAACTCCTTTCAACAACAGTGAGAAACCTGATTCTATTATCCTTAATGTATTTGGTTCCCTATTCTAGGCCATGTTGCTATGAATGAATGCCTTCTCTTACTGTATTTAGGCTCCAGTACACTATGCCAAGCAATGGTGTCCTCACCCGAGACCCTAACCCTCCACACTGGGCCACTGCAGCCCAGCCACACCCTATGTTCATGTTACCCAATAACTTTAGGAAAGAAATTATGGGGAAAAAGCTTTTTTCTTTTAATTGGCTTCTTATTTTAACATTTTGAAAATATTTTATAATTTGAATAAACATAAAGTAAAATGAACTGTTTTGTTGGTAATTTTGTGAATTTTAATATGTAGAAATATGTACTTCCAAAATCAGGAGATTGAGCAGTTCAGTCACAAAATGCCCTCATGCTAGATTTGTCTTTTTAACAAGATTATGTAACTGGAATCATGTGCTTTTTTAAAAACAGCTTTATTGAGATAAAATTTATTGTACCCATTTAAAGTGTATAATTCAATGACTTTTAGTATACTCACTTATTCAACCATCCTCAAGGTCCATTTTCATTTTCATTGCCTGAAAATGAAACCCCTTTTAGCTATCATGCTCCCCACAGTTCCTGACCTAAGCAACCACTAATTTACTTTCCATTTCATAGATTTCCCTGTTCTGAACATTTCATATTTATGAAATAACTAGAGGCCCAGTGCACGAATTCATGCATGGGTGGGGTCCCTTGGTCTGGCTGCCGATCGGGGCCAATGAGGACATGGGAGGTTGGCTGGTGGGGGGAGGGGCCACAGAAGGTTACCCAGCCGCCCCAATTGGGGCTGATGGGACCAGCCAGGTGTGGGGAGGACCATAGGAGGTTTGGCTGGCGGGGGGAGGGGAGGAGGAACTGTGGGAAGCTGGCTGGTTACGGGGAGGGGTCGAGGGAAGTTGGCCAACCCAATCAGGGTCATCAGATTGGGAAGGGTTATAGGGGAGGAGCCACGGGTGGTTAGCTGTGGGAGTGCACTGACCACAGAGGGCAGCTCCTGCATTGAGTGTCTTCCCCTAGTGGTCAGTGTGTCATAGCAACCAGTCAACCAGTTATTTGGTCGCTTAGGCTTTTACTAGTAGTCCTGAGCAAGAATCCATGCACCAGTAGGTCGCTGCTGCCCTCCTATAGCTCTCTGCCTCCTGCTTGCTTGTTGCCCTGCCCTGTCCTGTAGCTCTCCACTGCCCACATGTAGTTCACTACCCTACCTTTCTGCAGATCTGTGAGCCGGTTGTTACGTGTTCGGTCTTTATGCCTCATGGTATAACGGATAATTAGCATATTCCTCTTATTATATAGGGTATATAAAAGCCTAAGCGACTATTACAACCAAATGACCAGTCGACCAGTTTTGACCAGTTTTATGATATGCACTGACCATCTGGGGGCTGATGGTCAATGCAGGAGTGGCCCCCTGGTGGTCAGTGAGCTGCCAGTCAACCTCCCATGGCCCCTCCCCCTGGCTGGCCTGCTGGGCCCCATCAGCTCCTGTTGCTAAACCATTTGTAGAGACCTGCTTCTGGGTTGGAGTTTTATACATAGCAGAGCAGCTCCTTTGTTGTGAACTATTGAAAGTCAGCCCTTGACACAAATGTTTGTCTCCCATCCTCTTCCCCCAGGGCTGCAAGCCCACTAAGGTGATAGCCGTGGTGAGAGTAGGAGGAGGGGGATGAGGCGGGGAACTGCTTCCTCTCCCTTCCCTGGGGGCCACCTGCCTGCCATGGTGGTGGTGAGGGAAGAGGGGGTAAGGAGGGGAACCATGTGGTGGGGCACTGACAGCAGTATCCAGCGTCCATTCCTTCTGTACCCGGCCTAGCAGCTGTTGCCTCCTCTCTCAACCCCACTGGGGCCTTTGGGCTCAGGCCGGGACTGGGAACTGGGGGTGGGTGGTAGCGAACACAGCCCCTTTCTTAGGGGGGCTGAGGGCTGGCTCCCTCCTTGGGGACCAGTGGCCAACCTCCTGAGGTCCCCCCTACTCCGTCCCCTGCAACCAGCCAACTTCCCATGGTCCCCCCTCCTCCATGCATGAATTCGTGCACTGGGCCTTCGTATAATATATAAATATGTGGTCTTTTTTTACTTAGCATAATGTTTTAGAGGATTTCCACATTATATGCCAGTGCTTCATTAAAAAAAAAAAAAAAAAAGATATTCTTACTGAATGTTTTAGAAGATGGGAGAAAAACATCAGTGTGAAAGCAAAACATCAATCAGCTGCTTCCTCCACATACCCTACCAGTTCATTATAAATTGGGATAACTTCATACATTTTAGAGGATTACATGAGATGATTCATATAAAATATCTGGCAATAGTATCTGATAGTAAAATTATTGCTAACCACAGATATTAGATCAGAAATGTTTAATTGTTTAGATAGTATGTAGCTGAATTAGAAATACAGATAAGGTGCAAGTAACCTTTTTAAAAATAACACTTGTGAAAAGAGAGCTTATTGAATATCTAATCTGAGTAGAGTGCAAAAGGGGACATTTAAGTTTTTCTTTCATCAGTAATGCCTTGTAGTGTCTACTTCGGTTTAATTAAACATGAACAGTTCAAAATTACATATTGTTTTAGTTCAACAATAACCAGTTGATCTAACACAATACTTGGCAGTTTACTGCCACTATCTGGAATACTGTTTAATTAGGTAAAGAGGGTTTACACAAAACTTTAGGTGGGCTGAATCTAAGAGTGGAAGTTGTATTAAGGATATCCATAGTAGTGATTAATCCAAATGATAAAAATAACCACATTGCAAAAAATCAATTTTTAAGCACATTAAGCATATTTATCATCGTCTACTTCAGAAAACCATTAGAGTAAAAGCTTCAAGTAAATAACGGCCATACTATTAAAGAGATTTTTTTTTTCTGCTACCATACATCTTACTTTAGTGCTAACTAAATAGACTGAGTAGAACCCTAGCTGGTGGTTAGAGCATTGGCTCCAGGCACCATAGGGTCACGGGTTTGATTTCTGGTCAAGGGCATGTGCGCAAGTTGCAGGTTCTACCCCTGCCTGGTCATTTGTGTGCAGGAGGCAACCAATCAACATGTCTCATGTTTCTCTCCTCTCTCCATTCCTTCCACTCCCTCTAAAAATCAATGGAGAAAGTATCCTCTGGTGAGGATTTCAAAAATAGACTTAAGTAGAGATTGCTTTTTATTGGGGTTCTGCCATCACATTGCCAAAATACTTTGTTGAATCAGAAGAGAGAAATTAGAAAACCACCCAGCAAAGCCATGCATTTCAATCCACTTTATTGAAATGTATATCAGTGCATCTCAATAATTTTATTGAAATGTATATTCCTTAGTACTAAAACATAATGGTAGTTGGTTAGGTTACCTCTGCAAACTCAGAATTAACATGGATGCAATTAAAATATTGAAATGTATCAGCCTTTTGGGAAAACTGAAAAGTTATCTACAAAACATACTCTTTACAAAAGTATGAGATATACTGTGGTTCTTTGGTTTATTTTCCAGTGCATATTTATCCATAACATGATGTCAACATTGGGTACAATCATCTTGGATGGACTCAGGCTACACATTGCACTGTGTGGTTTATAACACTTTTAACATTGTAGATCTCCCTATATTCACTGACTTACTAGCAAGTCCTGAACACTTATGATTCAGCGACCTCATGATTATAAAGATGAGTATTTTTTCAAGACCTTCTGTTGGCACAGTTGGGAAAATGAGTAAAAGTATATTCCCTTCATTTTAAACAGAATTGTAAATTGGAAGCAATGGCAGTTTTATAAAAACAGTCCTTAATAAAAACTTCTGGAGTGTTAAATCAAGTTTTCAGTGATGTTAATTTGAGTCACTAGTACAATAAAACAAATTTTCTCAATGTGACTATATTGAAGCAGATTTTGCATAAAAACTTTTTTTCCCTGGACACAAACATTTACCTGTCTTATAATAAAAATGTTAAAAAAGAATACTCCAATATTAACAGGTATGTAGTTTTGTTTTATATAAAATGTGAATGTAATTCCTATGTAGCAATCAAGTCCACATCTCTGGATAATCTATTACTTGCATTATGGGTATTAAGAAACCATATTCACTGCCTAAAATAGTGACCCTTATAATGTCTTAAAAGTGCCTTTGTGAGATATTGGTTCTGATATAAACCTCATAATTTAAAATTTAAGTAGGTCACCATTTTTAATACCTCCTAAATATACTGACCCAATATAGAAAGTTGGATCAATGTTAGAAATAAAGATTCACAGTGTACCTTCCCAGATTATTCTTTAACATTTCACATTATAGACTTGGCTTTGTTTGTATGCCTCAGCTGAATTCAAATTTAAGCATAATTCCACTGTAGCATAATGTTAATTAGGCAGTTTTCCCAAATCTGAGAACATCAATGCTAATCCAGTTATGTTGTTTTGAGGATTCACAGCTTAAATCCACTCTTAACAGTATGGAATCCATCCTTCAGGATCGTGGCGAAAGGCTTCAGAGGAGTTTTTGTTGCTGTAATAATCCTAAACAAACAAAAAATCAAGTTATCAGAAGTTTGCTAAACATAAATACTAAAAATGACTTACTGCTCATATCTAAGATTCATAATCATGTCACACGTAGGTGTGTTACATGTTAACCTTGACTTTTGAATAGGAAAAAAATTACAGTGAGTTATATTTAGATGGCAAGAATATATGTTAGTGACAGGTATGCAACTACTTTCCAGGGTTCCAAATGCTATAGCAATGATACAAACTATAGTGTAACCTGCTGGTTTCCAAACACCCAATGTGAAGACTATCTGCCATAACATTTTCTTTAAATACAACATCCAAGACCATACTGATTTTGCATATAAGGTAATCTCAAACTAGTTCATATATGGTTCAAACTTTTGGTCCTATTGTGTACTCAGCCTTGAATAACTTTATTTATTTAAAAAAATATATATTTTATTGATTTTTCACAGAGAGGGAGAGAGATACAGAGTTAGAAACATCGATGAGAGAGTCATCGATCAGCTGCCTCTTGCACACCCCCTCCCCCCCCCCCCCCATATGCCTGCAACCCAGGTTGACCGGAATCGAACCTGGGACCATTCAGTCCGCAGGCTGACGCTCTATCCACTGAGCCAAACCGGTTTCGGCAGCCTTATATAACTTTAAATGAGCCAGAGTTTGAGTCCATATAAAGCAAAATGAATGATGTTCAATTAAAAATTATCATTTTAGTGCTTTTTTAAAAGTTATTTTTTAAAAATAGATTTTTATAGACTTCAGAGAGGAAGGGAGAGGGATAGATAGAAACATCAATGATGAGAGAGAGTCATTGATCGGCTGCCTCCTGCACATTGGGAATTGAGCCCACAACCCGGGCATGTGCCCTGACTTGGAATTGAACCGTGACTTCTCTTGATTCCTAGGTAGATGCTCAACCACTGAGCTAGGCTGACCGAGCTACTTTTAAAATTCCAATTATTCAACAGGATATTTTTTCTAAGCTGATAATTTAATGAAATAACTAAATTGCATATCAAAAGTTGGCTATTTCCTTATTGTTAGGGTGTTGTGCCTTAAATGTAGTTATGCCTTAAAATATTAGCTGACTACATCAGTGAAGTCATTTTCCTCTGTTAGTCCAACTCCATTTTTGTTTGGAAAATAATTCCGATTTTAATTCTTGAATTATAGAAGAAAATTATAGCATTAGAAAATTTCTCTATTATGGGAAATAACTATGAACCCAATTTACCAATTAAGGAACCGTTTCAGGAATTGTTGGAAGGTGGGTTATTCTGTAGTAACTATGCTTCAATTGCCGTGCAGTTCGCCCAGAAACAATCCATTTCAACTTCTGAACATTTGGTTTGGAGCACTTGTTTGATGAATATTCAGTTAAACACTTGGATACGAGCTCTTGCCAGAAGGTCAAATCTCTGCCATTTATCTGTGCATAAATTTTAAAAAATTATTACTAAATTACAAGTTCTAATGTATTTTAATACAGTAATACTTGTAATCTTATTAACGTGTCTTTCCTTGTCAAAATATTGAAGATAAGCTACTTAAGTTTCAAACACATGATGTCTCATTTTAGTTCAGGAGACAGTACAAGTGGATTAATTTCCTTTACAGCTGTTAATAGGAATGACCTTGACATACCTTGGAATGTTTCTGAAGACATTCTACGATTTCTGTTAACTCTATACACTTCTGTGCTTGGATCTCCAATGCAATGATAGACAATGCCAACACAGAAGGCTAAAAGAAAAAAAAATTAAGATAAATGTTGACTATAAAAACCAAGTACATAAATAGGTTTACTCTTTATATAAAATATTTACCCTTGCTTTAGAAAATAGGATCCTGCAGTGGCATGCCTTAAGTTGAGCTTCTAATCTTTCAAAATTAAGGCTATTCCTCCTTTAAAAAGAAAACAAGATTAATTGTACATAGATAATTTTACATCTAGTCAAAAGTCAAATTTTTAGAAAGACACAAGTCAATTATTTTAAAGTTTAAGTTTATACACACAGAAAATAAATTATTTGAAGTAAACAATTCCTTTTCCTTCAGAGACATGAACTCCTAAGGATAAGTAGTAACTCCTTAAGGATAGCAAACATAAATTTTAAGTCATTTGAGCCAAAAAATTAAAAAGTATCATGCCATAACTAACAAGGTTTCTTTTTATCATTTGTAATTAAAAAAAAATCTTTATTGTTGAAAGTATTACAGATGTCCACGTTTTTCCCCATTGACCCCTTTTAGTCCGAACCAATCTCCTGCCCCAGGCCTTCACTATGGTTTCTTTGGATTTTAATAAATCTATTTCTGCATCTACTGAAGTTCCTTTTTCCAGTAATCTGTGTTAGATGCATACCTACTAGGTTCTATAAATTAGTCTATAAATGAAAAATGAAATATAAGTAAAAGGTGAAATATCCTTTAGTCTCAAGAATTAGCCTTCACATACTTCCAGAGGCTATTGACAACTGAGTCTCATTTCTGCTGGACAGTGAAGTGAAATTCAAGGAGCTGCAGGTCCTTTGATAGGAATTCTCCCAGGATATTGATATTAAGCATTATTCAGACAATAACATTCTAATGTCCAAATAGCCTTGGTTTAAGACAAAGATTCCATACCTTTCAAATGGCAAGTTCTCTTGAATGAGTGAATAATAGAGTTGCAGAAATTGAAAGGCAGTAGTAGCTTTCACTTTCCAACACACTTTCTCCAACACAATCTTCTCCATCCTCATCAGGTCTGAAACTGTGAACCTGTACTGGCTTATTCGGATCAAGTCACTTGCCAGCGGGACATTCCTTTCCTCCTCTATTGATTTTACAGCCAGGTAGAAGCAGCTTAGTCCAACACACCCAAGGTGCTTGGGCTGTACCTAAAAAGATAATAAGTCCATACCTTTACCTTATTTCAATTAAAAAAAAAAAAAGAGATAATCTAGAACTCAGACCCATCATTATAAATGAACCTTTGAGGTATATTTGTCAACTCTGAAGGAAGTAACAAGTCAATACTTTGCACCCAACTTGAAACCAAATTTGAAGTAACTGGACTAAGTTGCAATATAATGCTTGGGTTCAGCAAAAAATAAATAAATAAATAAATAAAAAATTTAAATCACTATAGAACTAACTATAAGTGCTCTGTTCTAGTTGGACTAAATAACTGGTCAAAGGCTTAGATGAGAACTGAAACACCTTATAGCTTATACACAAAATTTCTTTACAGAATGTTGTGTTTTCCCAATCTGTTGTCTCTGTAGTAACACCTGTTTAAAACACTATAGCACATAACTTTCACTTTGCCTGCAAAACTCTGCTATCAAGCTCTTTTTATTTATTCATCACCTGAATGTCCACAATGTGAGACAAATTCTCTCCACTCTTAAGCTGTAGCTCAAATACAATTTTAAGAAGCCTTTACCAGTGTTTGTAACTAGCCTCTTTTTGAAACCCCTTTAGCAATATCTTTTTTTTATACTTCTTTAGCAGTATAATGTATTTATTTTTCTTATTAAGCCTTCTTCTGTATGATAGTGCAAACATTCTCATATAAGACTATATAATTTACTTAAGAGATAGATGTATATACTCATCTGTGCAATATTTATAGATGCAAAGATAATGCTTGCACATTCTGTCTAAAGAGTTGCATAATTAACCTATTCAACAAATTACTTGAGCCTTCCAATTCAACAAATACATTATTGAGTTCCTCCTCTATACGATACATTGTGTTACGTATCAAGAACTAAAAGATGAGTTTTATAGCCTTAAATTTGTCAGATTATCTCCTTATCTACCAATGACCATGGGCACACAGAGAAGGCAGATGTATTTTTAACAGCTAAGTTAGCTCTGAAAAACAGACATCCTGCTTATCCAAATATAGTGAAATAATTATGTAAACACTGCTCCATCAGAAGATACTCTACTATATGTAAGCAGAGGCTAGAAATGCCAAACATAAGCAAGATTTGAGTATGTCTAAGGCTAAAACAAGTATAACTATGTATATATATATATATATATATATATATATATATATATATATATATATGACTGGAGATCAATATACTTTATTGACCAGGTGATTGATAACATCAGAAAAAATGAGGAAACCCCCCTCCCATCTCTAATTATTAACCAAAACCTAGCATTCTGATGCTAACACATTTTTTTAAATAAGATAAAAAAATAAGTGAAAACACCCAACCTATCAAGAAAGATTTTCAAAAACAACAGCCAACTTTCCTACTGGGAGACTGCAATTAATGATTTGATATTAGACTATGTTTCAGTGTCAGAAGTTAAAACTAATAATGCATCGCTCTTTTATATATATATATATATATAAAATTCATCAATGCTGTAGTACAGAAAATACTTGGGCTACCTGCTGAAAATAAAAAAGGTCAAGTTTATGAATACCAGCCCAAAGTTAGCCATTCCATCTCTAAAACATTGAGTAAAACTAAGAAACACTCAGGGTAGCCCTGGCTGGGTGGCTCAGTTGGTTGGAACATTGTCCCATATACCAAAAGTTTTTGTGGATTCAATTCCTGGTCAGGGCACACATCTTGTTTGTGGGATTGATTTGTGGTATAGGCACATACGGGAGACAACTGATCCATGTTTCTCTCTCTCTTTCTCTAAAATCATTAACATATCCTTAGGCGAGAATAATAATAATAAAAAAAGAAGCAGGGTCATGTAGCTTTTAACATACCTTCATTTTGGACAGGAACCTGTCCAGTAAATTCACAGCTAGAGAAAATGTCTCTGTGTCAAAGCCGAAGAACTGAGTTAGACTCAGGAGATCCTTCACTTCAAAGTCCCTTAGCCTCGCAGTCATCCTGAGGCCCTTGTCGTAAGCAGATTCAATGAGTCTCAGGCCGCAGACCTTTGGCTGGCATTTCGGCTCCTGTTCCAACAGGGCGTTCAGCTGGTGGAGCAGTTTCTGAGAGTCGGTTGTTGCGAGGACCTCTATCATCTAAATATAGAACAAAGCCCAGAAAGGATAAGAATAGCCCTTCCTGCACTGCACCGGGCCAAGTGCTTGATAACATACCTTTCCCCTCCCCCGGGTGCTGCTAGTGAATCTAAGTCACTGCAGTTTTAACATATTGCAAACCTTCCAAGAAATACTTACTCAAGCCAGTCACTGTCAAGGGAGAACTATGGGTGGTTCAGACACCAACACTTTGAAATCCTGCCACATGTTAACAATGGGAACTGTTCATCTTAGGTCATTTCTCCTAGTCCTTAGCTCCTCATTTGTAAAGTGGATATGAGGTTATTATTACCTCCCTCCCTGACTTGTGTAGAAATGCATGAGGTCACCTGGGTATAGAGCTTAGCATGTCCAGTAGGTGCCTAATCCACCCTGGACAGTATGAATGACCATATCTCTACGTCTGTAAAATGAGGCAGCAATAATCTCTCTGGCTGTGAAGATTAAATAAGACGATTCATGCAGCATTCAGCCCGGCTCCTGGCACTGGGCGCTCAGTTAACTGGGAACTTTTCTTGGTGTTGGCAAAGGAAGCGTAAAGCGTGTGCTGGGGGCACAGAGGGAGCGGGAGGCGGACCTAGCCTGCAAGAGGAAACTGGTGGGAGTTTCCTAAATGAATCCATTGAAGCGGACTGACACTTTGATTGCTTTATGAATTATTGCACGTGTGTGTGTGTGCCCCAGACATCACGCTCAGTCTTGGACGCACAGACATAAGGTCCCGTTCCCTACACAACGGACAGACAGGAAAAGGCAGGAGACCTTTAGCGCTGGGTTAGGGGAGCGGGGCGCGGATGAGGGGCCACTAACTTTATGGGTTCAACTCTTCCCTCTCCCCCAGGCTGGTCCCTGGGACCCCAAAGCCCGCTTTGACACTTCAGACCCCGCGGATCCGCGGATCGGAGACCAAGGGGGACCCGGCCCCGCCCCTGCGGGCTGGGACGAGCCCGGACTTGTTGCTTCCAGTAGCGGACTAGCTAACCGAGGGGAAGGAAGGTCGCGGGCCGGACTCCCCCCCCCCCTACCCCCCCAGCCCCAGCCTCGCTCCCTCCCCGCCCGCTCTGCCCGTCCCGCAGCCCCAGCTCACCCTGATCGCGAACGCCGTTCCTCCTTCGCTGTGATCTCCCCTCCCCGGGCCTGCCCGCGCCTCCGCCCACGATGATGTCCGATCCGAGGAGTCCTAGAGGCGAGGGGGCTCGCGGGCCAGAGGGGGCCGGCCCGGGGACGGGGGTGGGGGCTGTCCCGGGGTGGAGGTCTCCGCAGCGCAGCCCAGACGACACTGCCCTCCTCAGGGTCAGCGTGGAGCCGAAGGGACAGGGACGGGCCTCCCGAGGAGATCTATGGGAGGGCGGGGCCTTCCTGCCAGAAACGGGGAGCCGCGCCGCCGCTCATTGGTGCAGTGCCTTTGATGGACGGCCCGCGCGGACCACAGAGGACGGGCCTGTAGAGAGGAGGCAGAGTCTCCGCCCCCCGGTGGCCACGCCCCTCCCGCCCGGCGTGTCTCATTGGAGGACGGTCCCATGTGTCTTCAATGAAGAGGAGGGCGGAGGAACCAATCCTGGCCCGGGTCAGGTGCCTGCGGGCGGCCGGATTGGCTAGAATGCCCTTCCAGAATGGACTGGGACTTGCTGGTCCTTGTGGTTTGGCAGAGCGGTTCTCCCCCTCCTCCTTCTGAAAGTACCTTGGCTGGGTACCAAAAAAAAAAAAAAAAAAAAGTAAAGTCTGCGTTTTCATTTCAAATGCAGAGGTGGTGGGTTAGTTTATTCAAGTCCAGACGTTTCTCTTTGGGAGCTTTGGAAATCAAGGGATCCTTGTCTTCGTTTGCTTTTTTTTTTTGAATCCTTGGTCAAAGAGTTGGAGTTGGGCTACATACACTCTCGGTCTTCTACCGATTTTCTGAATTTGATGTTTTAGCCCATTGAAATAGAGAAGTTGGTAGTTTTTCAACAGCTTACCATGAAAAGCCGTGGTTGGCTCTTAAGAGGAATACATGGGCAAAAAATAATGGTAGTGACTATGAATCTCAGTTCACAGGTCTGTGGGTGAAGCATTGTTGTTCTTTTTATTTACTGTAAGTGAACTCAACCTCTGTCGGCGAGTCTGTCCTGGGTTAGTGGTAAAATAATGTTTGAAGGCTTTCTGAACTCCCTCTCTCCTCTCTCCCAGATTGTCACAGATTAGAAAGGTCTACATTAAAAGCACTCATGAGTGAGGAGTCATTTATCAGGTTTCAGGGACTGTACTTGAATGTCTCTATTCTGATGGCTTCTTCCTAGTAGGTGGTTATCTGGGCTTTCACAAAGTAAAAATCTGAAAGACTTGCTTGCATCTCTGCTGTTTGCCCTACCTTGCATTACCCTGGGGCAATGCCACAGAACCAAGTCCTAAAACGAGGACAGAGTTGTAGGGAGCAGGGGGGAGGGACAACTGGGGAGGAAAAGTTAAAGCTGCAGAATAATATTTCAACCACATAATCAGGTCAGTTTGACAAAGCGTGGCCTTGCAAATGGGGAAGTGGCCTTGGTTCTCCTTGAAAATAAACTATGTAATGAATATTAGTGGGCCATGTAAAGCACTTAAAAGTACTTATTAAAATAATTTGTGAATTTACAAAAATATGTGTTTCTCTTTTTGGCTTTTAATAACAGAACTAGAAATATATATATTTATACACAGGCGTTTGTTCTCTAATATCTTTTGAACACATAAAATGTGCCAGTGGAGAACAAAATACACTGGTCCTTGGCCTTGTGGAGCATGTAGTCTTTTGGACAGAATGAACATTAGACTTTGGAATAAAATGGACTTATTTTCAAATCACAGGCTACCGACTAGAAAAAAATATTTCTCAAAAATAGGAAGTATTTTGTTCATACAGTAACTGAGAAGATAAAATAATGCAAAGTATGTAAAGTGGTCAGCACTGTGCCCATAACCCAGTAAGTACTTGAGAAATTATTAAGTTACTAACATTTCTTTTGAAATGTCTTGTTTAAACATACATACGATCGTGTTTTCTCTATTGAATCACTTAGTCTTCTATTCTCAGCTTAGAATCACAGAATTAGAATTATTTATTTGACACTAAAAGTATCTAAATTGCATATGTTAATTTCTAGGCCTTATTTATGCTGGAAATTTTCACGTGAGATTTTAGATATTAAAAATTTTATGTAATAAGATGTTTTATTTTCTCACATTAGGATTGTGTTATTACTTTGTATTAAGATAGAAAAATTCCCAACATAAAAAAGTTTCAATAGCACTGAAGGAAAATTGATTAAACAGTCAAGTCAGATGGACACTCTTTACTGTTGCTTTTCCTTCCATTCCCACTGTCATTTTTATCTACACTAATAAAAGAGAAACATGCAAATTGTCCGTCCCACCACTATACCCACCAGGCAATCAGGAGCAAGTATGCAAATTAACCCAACAAATATAGAAATTAATTTGCATACACAGATGAAGATGGAAGACTGAAGACAGTTGCTGCAGAGGGAGTGAAGCTGTGGAGAAGAGAGGGAGTGAGGCAGCGGAGAAGGGAGCAAAGTCCACTGAGCTCTATTTTTGCAGGAATCTTCCTGCAACAGGCCTCTAGTTCTGTAATACTGGAATATAGACAATAATTTAAATAATTTAAAAGACCTAATTAGCAAAATGTGCAAATGTAAGACTCAATTGTGTACTCTTGTAAAGGAAATAAATGACTCCTTCCTTAACTATGACTTTAAAGATGTGTATAGTCACGATTTTCTCTATGTCAAATGGCTGACTTCTAGGGTATTTCCTAGATTTAATGATATATTCAGCTGCCATCTTCATACTTTTTCTTCATCAACAACATTTAAGTACAGGACAACTCAAGCTCAGAAGAAAATGGCCTTAGGAAAAATTATGGCCTGGAGACTAAGCAACAATTCTCTCTCTCTCTCTCTCTCTCTCTCTCTCTCTCTCTCTCTCTCTCTCTCTCTCTCTCTCTCTCTCCTCTCTTCATTTCTCCCTCCCTCCCTCAAATCTAAGGCCTCTATGACACTAAGACGATTTATACTTAGTCAGCTGTATTGTTCTAGAAGCTTCTATTCAAATACTCACAGACTACAATGGAAACAAGCAGCGAAAAGGAGCAGAAATTCTGAGTATTTAGCTGGTTTAAATTTTTTTTTAATAGATGTAAAGAAATACTAGCAAATATTTTATTTGTTTGTTTCTACCTCAATTTTATATTCACAATTCCCAGTTTCAAATTATTTAAAAAAAACTTTTTTTTCTTTTTTCTTTTTTTCTTTTTCCTTTTACTTAAAATATCCTGTTCATCAAGTTTAGGAGCTTTCTATTAGAGCTGACATAAGAATAACAAATAAACAAAAACGCTATTTTTGTACCTTTATGTAGTTAAAATACGATGGAACGAGGCATCAGTATGCTCAAGACGTCTTAAGATATCTAGCTCTTGTTGGACTTCACCCACGCACCGATTTAGCGCAAACAGAATAAACACTCTAGGGCGCATCCTGTAAGTTTCCATTTCCAATGGAAATGCACACATATTTACATTAGGAAGCCATAAATACAGTTTGTGTGAGCATGAAAATATTTGCACGTGATAGATAATACTGCCAAATAGCCCTGAAACTGTTTTGATTTTTTTACCTAAGCAACCTCCCGCCAAGCCTGGCCTTGTGGAAGGCGTTTAATAACTAAACGCAGTGTCCTGGCTGAGACCCGAAGGGAAAGGCTGCGGCTTGGACGTCAGGGTTCTCAGTTACCAGTTCCTGACCTCAGTACCGGGCTGTTCGGCCACGGCCGCCCCGCCGGCAGTCCTGCCGGCTGAGGCTTCAGGGATCTGGCTGGAAACAGTGAACGGAGTCTCGCAGGAATGAGCAACGCGTGGGACATCGCCAGTGATGTGATGGAATCTCGCGAGTTGCGCTCGGCCCCATCCTGGACCTGAGTCCTGGCCACGTCAGCGTGCCCAG